AAAAGGGGGGGGGGGGGGGGGGGGGGGGGGGGGGGGGGGGAAGAAAAAGGAATAAAATTAAATAAAGGATTGGGCTTCTTACTTGATCCAGGGTTCCACCCGCCAGTAATATCGAAGGTGACTAAGGGCGCGATGCTTGTAGAAGAAGCCTGAGTACCACCGACACATTTGATGATAGCTCAAATCTGACGCGTGCTTAACGCCACGGGATTTCATGTTGGCCATGTGCTCTGTCAATTTGCCTGGGTCAACAGAGCTGGGTATATCCCAATGCTCTGAAGGGATCTGTTCTGCGGGTATGTTCATGAGAATCTTCTGTCACAACTCACAGCCTGGATATCAAGCGGGGACTGTTACCATAAAGACATGACGCTCGCGTTTCTAGCCTGGTCCGCCGCTTAAACTCTTCAGTGAAGGGTTTGTCGTTGAAGAAAATCCATGGATATCCAAATTTGGCGTTGAAATTTTGCTCCATCTGACGCATGGAAAATATAATCCCATCTAGTTCTTCGGTCCGAACAAGGGCTATGATGGCCGAATCGTTTCGCGGCGATGACTGATCGCCCATGTCAGAGACATGCAATAGCGGTGTCTTTGTAGCAGGTTCATTCATTGCTGTGCGAAACAGACACCGAGGTTAGGACCGACATGCCAAAGCTCACCAGTGCTGCGGGTTTACATCGGGTAGAAAAGCAAGCCTTACGGATGTGCAATGCTCTGATCAAAACATCCCCCGAGCTCAGAAGAAAACCGCGGTAGAGGTACAGCAGCAAGATAACACATATCAGAATGGAAACGAGGCAAGTGGAAAACCTCCTTCGCCAATGCATGTCTGTTCCAGAGCGGCCTTCTCGCAAAAACAGGGATTCCACGGTTTACCTCCCATCCCTCGGTCATGATTAAACAAGAATCCTCAGCTTGTCTTCCTCCTTCCCCTATGGGAAGAGCTTATTTAAATAAGCTTTGGGAGTCCCCGAGGTCTAATTTATCGCAGCTGGCTGGAGCTGGCCAGACGAAAACCGACTGCCAGTCTGATCACTAGAACGAAATGATGGCGACGGTGCCATTTGGCCACGTGAGCAGACTCCAATCATGTTGGCAGATTTCCGGTAGGGCTTCTAACGAGCCCATCGCTTACCCATCTTGGCCACGCTAGCATGCCAATATTAAAGCCGAACCAGCTCTTGCCTGCTCCACCGTCGCAATTTACTAAAGTTGCCGCGTAAGCATTTTCTTGGCAGGCGCTTGATCTCCGTGCCAAGATCCCGCTAGCAGCTCAAGGGGAGCCAGGGGGAGCTCAGCCTTGGGAGGAGCGGCGGAGGAAAGTATTGACGTGGTGGTACGGTAAGGATCACAAGTACGAGATACGGAGTACCTAGGTAGCTTTAGCAGCAGCTCAGTACATAACCATGAGTAATCCTCGCCACACCGACATTTATCTGCCATTACTATTGCTGCAGACCCTTGATGAGTTTTTGCAGCTAGCATGCCCAACGGTGCCAAACAAAGACCGAGTCTGACTTGAGTTCCAATACCAACTCAACCCCGCTGGTACAACAGGAGGCATTCTCAACTTCAAGCGCAGCCATGGCCCGATTCAATAGTATCCTTTATCCAAGACCTGATTTTGCTGGTCGCAGGCTTATTGAAGGAACCAAGCACCCTTCTGGCGGACCTGGACGTTCAACGTCGTCCATACAATAGCTTTTGCAGTGGCTTAAAGTTGAGCGTCTGGGTCTGCGATCACAAATTGATGATATGTGTGTGCACATTCTAACCTTCTTACTGCAAGTTTGAGATCTGTAGTCCTACGTACTTGTAGCTCCATCGTGACACTGCCATGGCTCCATCCAAGTCTGCCACTCCCTCGTCTGCCAGAGTCGGCTCCCAAATTTAGTCTCTAGATTGTTCAGAGATCCTCCGCACCAAGCACCCTCATTCTGGCCTCCAATAGTCGCGCGTCCAGCTCTTCCGCTTCTTTCCATCGCCCTTGACTCCTGTATATCGACGCCAGGTGGGCCATGATAGTGAGCGTCGAGACATGCTCGGCTCCTAACACCCTCAAACTGGTCTCCATCACTTGTATGTATAGCTGTTCCGCCTCCTGACTTCCATTTTGATCCAGGTTGGTCGAGACAGTGTTGTTGTTCGTACTGGTTCGCGTATCGAGATGTTCGATCCCTTTGATTACTGAGCATTGAACGCTATATTCGTCCTCTGGTAGAGCCTCGTTCGAGGGTACATGAATTGTATCACAAATGGAGGTACTGTCCTGACACTCCTTTGCCGTTTCGTCATCCAGAGCGGTGCTTGGGGAGACATTCGTCACGGAGGATATTGTCATTGCGGGTGTCGCTGCGGGTGTTGTCGGAAGGGTCATAAGCTGGTCGGGGCATTGATCATACAAGGCTCCAATATTTTCAGTGGACGCGGCAGGCTGTGGAGGGCAGCGTGGCGAATACGAGCATGTTGAACAACATGTCCCACTTCTGCATTCCTGTTGTCTGGTAGGCAGGGGACCTGGTATCTTGGGTGCCGATAATTTGGGCATTATTTGTCGAAACGAAGCAGGCGCAACATCAGTCGCGTTGCGAGGCGCGTCTTTTCGATCGTCGATTTGCTTGCGACCTGGATCGATACCAACAGACTTCAATAGGTCTCGCAAACGAGCATTTTCAGCTTTCAGATCGGCAAAAGCAATGCGTTGAAGGTCCGCCTCACGACAGGCAATATACGACTCATGAACCCGTCTCTCGAGATCCGCAAGATATTCCTGGCGTCGGGCACGGCTGCGGCGCTGATTGTCACGAATCCGTTCTTGCTTGTACTTGGAAGCAATAGAAGCGGTGCTATTCTTGGCCGACATGACTGGCTAAGGCGCGATGGTTGTGGAAGGAAGTGTTTGAAGTGCCCCTGTGAAGACTTGACGTCTCGTCGAAGCCATGTTATGAGCCCTTTTAGCCGCCATGACAGTCATTACCGTACCTGTAAAGACAAGTCATTCATAGTCACCACGGCTGGTCACAATACCATATTCCCCCACGTACCCCCCGCCAGACATATCGACAATAACGAGTCTCTGTCTCTCTCCATCTTCCTCCTGTACCTCGTATCAGTCACGCGAGCCACTGCCTTAGCGTGAAGCCGTTGTTCTGGAAACAGGGTCCCTGGCGTTCCCTGGCTAAGCGTCGGCCATTCTCCCCTTCATGGTCAATGTGCCATGTGGGCTTCGCCTCGCACCCTCCTAGACTTGGTCTTGCCACACGTGGGAACCAGCTTCGAAGTGCGTGATCCCGCACCGGTCTGGGAGTGGTTTGACGGGTATCGATTTGGGGGCAGGAGCACATTTGCGATGCCAGACACTTGAACATTCCCTAGACACGGTCAGAGGTTGACCACCACCCAAATGTAAATAGTCTGCGCACTGGTCACTGCTGGAGCTGGACTAATAGTCCGCAAAATCTTCGCAAGATGACCGAGCTCAATGACAAGTTGCCCCGCTTACCTCCAGATTTGTCGGTGATCAACATTCGTCTCCCTTGCTATGCTCGCATTTTTGGAACACGTGCACTGTCATAGTACCTTATTGGCAGTATTTTCACGTTCTCATCAAGCATGCAGCCACGGTTGGCAAAAGGAAAAATGAAAAGAGGACAAAAAGGAAAGAGAGAGGGTCGGCAGCATCTTGTTAATAGAGTCACAGCTTCGACCCAGTGGTTCCCATCCTTTTTCTTTCTTTACAAACTACCGGACCGTCGAGAGAAGGACAAAGGAGAAGATGCTGTGCTTCGTGTACGCCAGCCTGCTGGCTGCTGGCGTGGTTCAGCTGGCCCATGCTGCCACCAACAATACCATCAACTCGCAGCTTCGTCTGGCCTATGCGGGCGACACTGGGATGTACGTCAGCTGGAACACGTTCGAGAAATTGGCCCGTCCAACTGTTCATTATGGCCTGCTCCCAAATCATTTGAATATGACCGCCTCGTCCAACGTTTCCATCACGTACCCGACCTCTTTAACGTACAACAACCACGTGAAAATCACGGGTCTCAAGCCAGACACGCTCTACTACTACCTCCCAGAACACCTGCTCCATATGAATTCGCACTGTCCATATACTTTCACCACTAGTCGACCGGCTGGACATCCAGCAGAATTCTCTGTTGCAGTTGTCGTTGACTTGGGCACCATGGGAAGCCAGGGTTTGACAACGTACGCTGGAAAGGATGTCTCCGAAAATAACACCCTCTCCCCTGGCGAAATCAACACTATCCAGTCTCTGGAGAAATTCAAGGGCGGCTATGATTTTGTTTGGCATCGTAAGTCTTTACCATCTGTGACCAGTTGTGACTACTAAAGATATGACCTTAGCTGGTGACATTGCCTATGCGGACTACTGGTTAAAAGAGGAAATTCAGGGTTTCTTACCCAACACCACCATCGCCCAAGGATTTCATGTCTACGAGTCAATCCTCAACGACTTTTACGACGAGCTTACCCCAATTACCGCCTATAAACCCTACATGGTTGGCCCCGGAAATCACGAAGCTAACTGCGATAATGGCGGTTATACCGACAAGACCCACAACATAACGTATGATGTGAGCATTTGTATCCCTGGCCAGACAAACTTTACGGGCTATCGCAACCACTTTCGTATGCCGAGCGCAGAATCTGGCGGCACAGGCAATTTCTGGTACTCCTTCGACCACGGCATGGCCCACTTCGTCCAGGTCGATACCGAGACTGACCTTGGCCACGGCTTTGTCGCTCCTGATGAGCCTGGTGGAGTCGAGGGCGAAGAGAGTGGGCCCTTCAACACCACGATAGACGCACAAACCAAATGGCTTGAGGCCGACCTTGCCAGTGTCAATCGCACTGCGACCCCCTGGGTTATCGTTGCCGGTCACCGTCCTTGGTATTTGAGCAACGCCAACGACAGCGGCACCATCTGCTGGACGTGTAAAGATGTCTTCGAGCCCCTCTATATCAAATATGGTGTCGATCTAGTTCTCTCAGGCCACGCACATGTTTATGAGAGACAGAACCCGCTGGCAAACGGTATCATGGACCCCGCCGGTCTGAACAATCCCAAGGCTCCCTGGTACATTACCAATGGTGCCGCAGGACACTACGATGGACTCGACAACCTCCAATACCCTTTGATGGATTACTCTCGATTTGGGCTCGACACTCTCAATAAGACCTATGGATGGAGCAAACTCACGTTCCACAACTCCACGCACATGACGCATGAATTTGTCGCGAGCAAGTCTGGTGAGGTGCTAGATCTAGCCACACTATATAAAGCTAGGAAATAACCCTTCTGATGGTTATCACGGCTCGTCGCACGATTTACTGATAGGAATGAGCGTCTTATGCGGCCACGGGGAGGAGGAAGGCGCCAAGAAGGTGACGCGAGGAGTGGCCTTCGAGAGGCCAAGGCTAGGGGTTACTTGAAGTCGTTAGTTGATCTTGGGGAGGTGTATATATCGAGATTAGCTAGCAATGCGGAATTCATAAATCAATCCCATTTTTCTCTAATCTTCCTACGAAAGGTCTTCCTGTCATAGAGGGTAGTTAAGACGTGAGTCTATTGTAACGGGGTCGGCCCGGAAACAGGAACCGGAAGTAGGGTAAAGACATTTTTGAGGCTATCCATGAGAGTGAAGTGGATGCTGCAAGCCACGGTGAAGGCTTAGGTCGGTGCATGGAAGGAGATCTCGAAGGAAGACTTCAAGAAGCGTGGCAATGGTCTTGATGTCCATGGCAACTCGTACAGCTTTCCCGGCAAGAGAGTGGTAGATTTCCACTTCCTCCTCAAGTAAAGACTGTGCAAAACTGCGACGTTCGATTTTCCCCCCTTCCAAGTAAGTCAGACAAGTCCTGAAATCCGCCGTTTGCTGCGCCACCTCGGCCAAATCCTTCCCCTCAAACTATCCTGTTGTGAAAAATCAATGCACATGGCTCATTCCCAACGGTAATGATTGTTCAAATTTGGCGTCTGTTGAGATTTCTGCCTCGCCATCTTCACCCAGGACTTCGGCGTTTGTCCCAATCTCGAACTAGTCCTCTTTCCATGAGTTGTTCGAGGAAGTGTAGAAATATCGGGCGTTTGTGATCACCAGAAGAGACCGCGATTATGCACAGCATGCGCAGCGCTTTCGAATTTGATTTTGAAATAGCGATATTGACGGATTTAATTCTAGAAGTCGTTATTCTAAGTATACCCTCATAGTCCTCCAGTACTCAGGTTCCTCTGCCGTAACGGTGTCCCGCTGGGAAGAGCTAGCTCCGCGACAGCTTCATGGCTTCGTGTAGTGAGCAAAATCAAGCCCGTTGGACTGGTTGGAAGATACCCGCATGGTGCCATTGTGCTAAATAGCACCTCCCACATCGTCAGCGTTGTCAAAATTTACCGGTTAATTCATACAGCCGTTTTGGTTAATTCCTTCTTGACAAGCGATTTAATATCTGCCCCGTCGTCCTCGATGCCTGCCACCTGAAACTTCTGCCAATCTCTTGGTGTGCATTCTCAAAACTGGTGACAGCCACCGGAAGACGGAATATTATCGACGTTGGTCACAAATAAAAGCCACTCCTCGAGGCACCTAAGCCCTACCTGCGCCTATGAGACCTTCGGTGTTCGTACGTTGGCAACTGTCTTTATCCACGTTAGGGGGTACTAGGTGGAAACGTTGCCACGGCCAAGCAGGTTGACGACGCTGCGCTGTTCGACGATCCCCCGCCGTCGTTGTGGTGGTGCTGTTAGTGCTGCTGGTTCACCAAAGAGGCAAGGGTAGAATTCTTTTGTAGATATTGTACTTGACTCGGAGAGAGTCAGCCGCCGTTGTTCGCATCTTACATCTATTTCTACGTCTGCTTCCATTCTCTCAAAAGAAAATTGAGACTCTAGCGCTTAAGCATTAAACCGTCCGCCGCCTATTGGTCCCCTCGTCTATGGCTCCATCCCCAAACCAAATCAAGCCCCGCCTATTTTATAAGTGCCATAGATAATAAACCCGCGCTAAATGTCTTGAAAATTGCTCCCCAAAATTCAGAGCATTCAAGGGCATTTAGCCTATCCGTCGTCAGTGTGGCCGAGTGGTTAAGGCGTGTGACTTGAACCGTCAACAGTAAGCTTGATCGGTGCTATCCCACCGTGAAAGTTTTCAGTTTTCACATTCAAGAATTGTTATCACATCTCTTCGGAGGCACAGGTTCGAACCCTGTCGCTGACGCTTTTTGTCTTTGCTTGGATTCCGCGAATATGCGGTGGGCTTCGTTTTTTTTTTTTTTTTTTTAAAGAGTGGGGGATTCCGATTTTATTTTTGCCCTCTTCTGTGCCATCCATCGTTCTTTCTACTCGAAGTATTTCCTCGTCTATTCGCGCTTCAACGGAGGTGTTTTTGCTGGTCAAGTTCGGTCATGCGAATTGGGTAGCCTCGGGAGGAGTGTAGGATGGGATATATCTTTCCTTTGCAAGTGTAAATGCAATACTAGCTACCTGGCCTAGCTCTACCTATACCATGGTAGCGTCGGCGATGATATACACAACTTAGAATTGAGGCGACGATACAGGAATATAAAGGAAAAGGAGACTATGCTCTCGGTGAATCCCTTCTGCTGTATAAACCCTCATTCTCTAGCCATGTATGTACAATCTCTCAGAGGGTGTCGAGAAGGCTCAGCGGTCTTCAGCATGCATTTCAATCGCTCTCGACCACAAGCCTTGATTCAAATCACTCTTCACTGCCCCGATACCGATCCACACCATCCCTTCCCCCTCCCCTCACTCACCTACTGATCGTCAATAACATGCAAATACTTCTTGGCTTCCTTCTTCTCCCTTGCCGTTGCTGGGGGCAAATCATAGTAGCTACTGCTCCGATAGTCTTGCAGATACAAGTAGGTCAAGTCCTTCAACTCTGCTGGTTCAATGCCCAGGTCTTTGAACGTCTTTGCCCCCTTCTCGACGGTCTGATCCAATGACTCTTGTTCCAATTGATCCGCTGTCATGATTGGCCACCAAATGACTTTGTTGAGATAGTAAAGGATTGGTTTGAGGAGGGCTTTGGGGACGTCAATGTGGCGGCGCTCTTTGAGGATTTCTCTGTCGACCATTTCGGCGATTTCGCGCATGCTGTAGTTCGTGGGCCCATATAGTTCGAAGGTTTCGCCAGCAGTGGTATCATCGTAGCCGATCTTTTCAAGGGCCATCCCGATATCAATGGCCTGGCATCGTAGGTTAGAAGTGTTGGGGATGGATGCGAGCACAAAGGCGGACTTACATGAACCGGGTTGAAGCGTTCCTGCATGTTATTCACGGTGATCAGATTGGTCACGCCGGCCAGGCGATGTAGAAGAGTGTCTTCGAAGCCGAAGCAGGGTGCTGGACGGACGATGGTGGTCTCGGGGAAGAGTTGTCTTGCAACTTGTTCTCCCATAGCCTATGAGAGGTGTCAATGACCATCTACCTCTTTTATAATTCTGGATGTTCTGACCTTTGACCTGAAGAACTCCGACGGAGAGTTGATGTCGGCATTGTAGGATGAGACATGAATGAACCGATCAACATCATATTTAGCAACAGCTTCAGCTATTCTCTCCACGCCCTCGACGTTGACATCCCACAGACTGAAGTTCTTTGTCGGGTAGTTCTTGCCAATCAGGTTGAACACAATGTCCGAATGTCGCACACTCTCTTCAATCGACTGCGTATTTCTCAGGTCGAACTCCATAAACGAAACTCTTCCCAGGTCGCCAGTGGGCTTCAGATGTCTCTTTGCCATATCATCTCTGTAGGGGACCACAACTTGGCATCCTCTTTTCGCAAGTCGCTGGACGATGTATCTCCCGAGAAATCCATTTGCACCGAAGACAGTAACTGTATAACCTCCTAATGATGATCTTCCTCCCGGGTGTTTTATGATCGGTTTGCCCGTTCTTGTGATAGCAATGTCTTGGAGGTATCCCCGGTGAAAGGATTTGGGTTTGAATGAGGATCGAGCTGCGCGCACCGCGAGGGTGGTGGGTTGGCAGGTGTGCATCTTGCAATGCAGCACCCGAGAGAAGCCTTTACAGGCAGATCGAGTGTCGAGACTAGTCAAGGTAAATGGAGGTGACGGTCGCAGTCTGCGAGGAGCTTCAATGCAGTCGACGTCCAACAGCTCCGCTGCATCACGTGGCTCGAGGCTTGGCGGCGAAAGACGCCTCACACTCACGTGTGGCGTCAACCTCATCAGCCTCATCTCGCGAGTTGAGATCAGGCTCCAGGCACAACGCTTGGGTGTCGAGACCCAGGCTCCGAAACCTGGCCATTTTGTATGTGCATAGGTATTCGGAGGTACAGCAACTACTTTTGCGCTTTCTTTCACTTCCTTGTACTCCCACATCCTCCTTAGCAGCAGCTTGCTAACATGGACTTCATCCCACCCGTCACTAACCCAGCTCACCCGCGCTTCTCTGTACCCTATTTCAGCCCACCATCCAGTACTTACACAGCGGGCGGCTTGGAATCATGGCTATTCTATCCTCACTATGAAGGTTTCAACATCCAACACATCGTTGAAGGTAACTTCCACGGCAAGACTTGGCTCGAAGCCGCCGCATTTATTCAGAGATGGGCATATCTAGGCATGATCGCCGAAATCATGCACATTGGCGGCTTGCGCGGCTTAAGAAATGAATTCATCACCGAAGCTGAAAGGGACGCCGGGACTGAACAGCTCAGAATCTTTTCGGCACTCCTGCCCTACAATATACTTCTGTGGAACCACATCCACCCAGACCTCAACCAGATCGATGCCGATCAAGAGAACATTAAACGATTCTTGACGATGTCGGTGATTCTGAAGCGAGTGAATGTGTTTTATAACCTCCTTACCGGCCGTGAGTGGGTTCGACCCCAACGAGTGCAAAACCAAAATTATCAGCCGAGGCACGTACACTCTAAGCATGATCATCGACACGACCACCGTGCAGGGTGGACTGAGTGGCTGCAAAGTGCACCGGAAAATCAAACGTTCTTCACAGATGAACCATACTCCGGTGTGAATTCACTCGAGTCCCCCGGACATGCTCTGGTACTGTCGATAGGGGTCGTTGGGGAGCTTCTTAGCGACGCCGTTGAACGCAAGTACAAAAGACGACTCGACCTCAAATGGAACATCCCTGTGACGATCGTGCGAAGAATGGACCTGGCAGGGTGGTGCCCAGTCTGGCTCAGGAAGTTCAAAGATGAGGGTTCCGTCATTAGGCCCGTGTACCTGAGCTCCATCTCTAAGGGTCCGACGCACCGACATGCCAGTTGTTGTTTTTTTGGGTGCATTGCAAACCAGATAGACAAAAGCACATACACGACGAAACATTGTCGTGATGATTGCAACTGTGACGTGGTTTCCTTTGATCTCGGTGATGGATCAGAGTATGCCAGGTGGATCAGAGATGGTTACGCACCGCTACTGTTACGTGAGAATTCCAGGACTGCGGGCAGAGTTTCATGGAAATTGGTCCGAAGCCATGAACCAGAGACAAGCGCACCGAAGAGATATGTCGCAATATCGCACGTCTGGGCAGACGGCACGGGAAATGCTGGAGGAAACGCTCTGCCAAGTTGCCAACTGCAAAAGTTCCAAGATGCTGTCATCAAGCTATTTACCGACCTTGACGTCGATGAGCAAGTGCCTTTTTGGGTAGATACAATCTGCGTGCCATTCAATGACAGCCCCGTCAAAATGTTGGCCCTTCGAGACATGGAACGAATATATCGCGAGGCAGACAGAGTTCTGGTATTTGATTCTACTCTAATGCAGATCAGCCTTGACACCCCAGCCAGGGAGTGCCTCACACGAATAGAAATCAGCCCCTGGAATGAACGGCTGTGGACGATTCAAGAAGCTGCTTTCGCGAAAGTGTTAGCCTTCCAATTTAAAGATGGACTTGCCAGCCTACCTTGGCTGGCGAAGAATTACCGTCTCGAGCGGTTTGCCAATCTAGCACAGCTGCGGTATGATCAAGACTTCCGCGCAGAAAGCGTGGGAATGGCAATGCTAAAACTCATACTCGACATGCATCTTGGGCCCGTGTTAAAAGATAAGAATGCTCCGATGCAACAACCGCCTGGTGTGCAAAGTGGCATGTGGCTGGCACTCGATGCAGATGCGCTCGATCAAGAGATCTCAGATGTCGAAATGGAAGGTCTGACAATGGACTCGACTTATTTCGGGACCTTGGTTGCTGTGCTTGGATTCTTCAGCATCTTGCAGCTTCCAGCAGCGCAGTCCAACAACGTCAGAACAAAATGGAGCTCTCTAGAGAAGGTCTTGCCATATCGTCAGACCAGTATTATTGCTGATGAGGGTCTGTGCCTCGCAACCCTCCTTGGCATGGATCTGACAACATTTCACAACCTCAAAGATGAGGAACGGATACGCCTGATGTTCCTCAAGATGGAGCACGTCAGCACGGGTATCCTCTTCGGTAGTCGCCCGCGCCTGCAACAATCGGGCTATCGCTGGATGCCCGTGACGTTTGTGGGCGAGCGCACCGAGCTCTCAGAGCAGAGGGCACACGTCACTCAACAAGGCATCAGAGCCATACTGCCAGGTTTAGCAATAGACTTTCCTCCAGGCGGCCGTATCATCCCCTGGATCGGAAACCGCCGGCTTGGTTTCATAGAGATACCTGAAGACGACGACGACGGGCCGGGTCATCTCGTCGCCGCGTCCTTCCCTATTCACCTCGCAGGAACCGACCAGGCGTACATTGTGGATCTGATGCTCCCAGAAGGAAACGCAGGTTTCATCGCTCCAGGTTCTAAAGTGCATATCGTCCTAGAAAGTCTCTTGGTCCCGGATGACCCACCTGACGAGGAACACTCGCCAATCAAGATGATTCTCAAAGACTGGGAACTTCAAAATCGAAAGTCGCTGATAGAAGCGTTTCTCGTAGATGATACCAATGTTGAGGGTGACGTATTGAAGGTAACGTACAGGGTAGCGGCGACGCTGAGCAGGTACGACTCTCCTACAGCGAGCCAGCTTGAGACGGCGGCAGTAGCGACGCAAATCGAGAGTCAGGAATGGCTCATTTCATGACTTGGTGATTTGTGCGAGCATATGGCGAATGCCATGTTTGACGCTGAAGACCGTGGACTGCACATCAACGACAGGTCCCACAGGCAATCTGCTCAACACCCACGACCAAGCAGTGCTTCGCTGATACCCAACGCCACCGCATGTTCATGGCTTCACACAAAGCCCATGACGCCCTGCGCCCCGAACTCGCCCGGGAATCAAAGGGTGAAACGGTGCAAACCTGAAACCCATATATTAAGGCAACCTTGGGAAGCCCCTTTTCAAATTTCTAGCATAAAAAGGTCACCAGACTAGTTGAGGTCACTAACCGCTACCGGATATCATGGAGTAACGTGATCACGAGGTGGGAGATAAGACGCGGCTTGGCAGACGATAAGGCTGCCGGATCCCTCTTTGGACAATCTCATGGAGAAGACTTGTTCCCTTCGACTGACGAACGATAGATCGAAGGCAGTTCAGACGTTGAGCCGGGGGCCATTACATGCGGAGGCACGGTCCCTACCGTCAGACCATCCAGCTCGCGGAGGCCTCGAATCCAACATGGCTGGACTCGACAATATCTCAATGCCACCAGATGCATCCTCTGACCCGTGCTTTCAGAGGCCAAAGAAGCGCCCTCGAGCTGTGGTCGCATGTCTGAGGTGTAAGACGAGACGTCAAAAGGTACGGTTGCCCCTTGATCTATTTGAGAATATTACTGCGACAGCCAGATTGAAGTAGTCCTAGTGCGACAACAAACTACCGGCCTGTTCCAATTGCGCGAGGGCGAAGCTCAACTGTGTCTTTCCCGAGAACGAGTACCCGCCATCCTATGTCAAGGCACTGGAAACACGAGTTGCATGGCTGGAAGCACAGCTGGACCCCTCGCGGCAACCCCGATTGGGGGACCACTTCTCCGGCGGTGATGGTAATGATGCAGCTGCAAGCTCAGAGGAGCGGATAACTTCCCCCACGGGCACTCCAAACCTGGCGAGTAGTGTTGGGCTATTGTCACTCCACGCAGCTGCCGAACCTCAATACTTTGGAGTATCATCTGGGGTGTCTTTGGCTCTGATGATAGAGACGGCCGTCTACGAAAAAGCACGACCTATTTCCTGCTTGAGTTTACCTTCAGAGACGGTCGAAAGTCCGTTCTCGGGCAGCAGCCAGAGAGGCTCGACCGCCGCTGCGTCTTCACCGCCGTTGGAGAAGGCAGCGTCTTTTGTAGCCGCCTATCTATCTTACATTCACCCTAATTTCCCGTTTCTTTCCAAAAAGCAACTTTGGAAGGCTCACCACAATCGGCAGGAAGTGGACGACTCTACTACTAGTGAAGGACGCCATGATCACGTTGTGTTGCAGCTGGTGTACGCGATTGGGTCTCGCTGTTTGAAACTGGTGGGATCAGAACACGTCGCAGAATCGGAGCCAGAAAGCTTTTATCATTCAGCCATGGCAAAATTACAAGATCAACTTAATGAGCCGAGTGTTCAGAATATCCAGCTCATCCTCCTAGTGGCCATCTATGCGTTGCGTTCTCCGTCAGGTGCGTCGTGGTTTCGCCAGGCCGGCTCGTTGTGCTGGTTCGTTTGGATGCATTCATTTCCTCCACTCTCACATGCGACTCCGAACTGGAGCGTCATGAAAAGCTTTTTGCAAATCCATCTTCTAACTCTTTCTACAGGATCTAGTGTATGGCATTTGTGCGGTTTAATGATCAGGCAATGTGTCGAACTAGGCCTTCACCGGCAACTGCGAAAGGATGAGAACAGGTCCCACTCTGACGAATTTAAGAGGAGGTTGTTCTGGAGCATCTATCACCTGGAGCGGAGGATTGTCCTAGTTCTCGGAAGGCCGTTGGCCATCGCAGATGATGAAATCGATATCCCATTACCCCACGAGATTGAAGACGATTATTTTGAGGACATCACAGGGCTTGCAGGGACAAGCCGTGAGCACCAGGTATCAAATCAGCACAGCGGGCCAGGGGCGCCTTCCACAATAGCGGACACGGACATCCTATTCCACGTTCATGATGTTCGGCTAGATCAGCTCAACGCCAAAAGCCGTCTCACACTCGCCCGTCTCGCGAAGACCAATCGCGGAACACAGGTTGAGCGAAAGATTGCGAAGCGATTCCAGGAACTTGAGGACTGGAAAACGGCCATATTTGGTCACTCCCTCGGAGGGGATGCGTCAACGGACTTGATGTTGTCTACCCTCAGAACTCCTGTTCAAACGCCCGTGTCTCGCCCTGCTTTGCCGGAAGCACAGCGGCTCGCGTTGCTGCTCAACTATCATCGAGCTCGCCGAATGCTCCTTCAGACAATTCTCACCGAAATACAGTTGCCTAATCAAGCATTCCCGTTTTCTTCCTTTGCCAAGTCGTCAGGCGAAGTCTGTCAGCTCAACCGGCGACTTCATCGCTTACGATCTGTGCCCTTCACACTGCTTGATCTACATTCCGTCTTTGTAGCTGGGTTCTCGATGATCTACTGTGCGTGGTCCGACCCAAGTCTCTACGACGCCGAAATGGCGGCTGACCTGGGAGCTTGCTCTACTGTGCTGTATTTGATTACCGAGCAATGGGGCGCAGGTGCGAAGAAATACCGCGATGCCTTTGAGCTCATTGCGGGCAAGACGGCAGAGTATGTCCTCAGCCCTAGGCGCTCACAGGCGAACAGCCAACAAAGACCGGCATCTGTCGGTCTCCAGGCACCGCTTGATGCATCGGTTGCAGCCAGCGACACCGTCCCGGGACCTGAGATGCCACATCCGACCACTGCATATGACGACGTGGAGCGACTTAGTAGTGGAAGTTGGACCAAAGATAGCTTGGACGTCTGGCAGATGATGACCGAGTTTGTTCAGACCCAGGACAGTGATTTCGGGTGTGACCCTGTAAACTTTCGAGAAATCGAGGAGTTCTTGACGGAAGAGGGCCTGGGATGGTTCAATGGAAGCACTGGTATGGGCTTCTGATCTGATGCTGGGTTCTGCCTGGAGCATGGTCCTCGGCTACAATCGCAAATTGAGCGTTTTCGAACAGTTTCCGTCGCCGTAAAGCTGGAATGAGGGGCAGGATTGAGCAACCCGGACACCCTCGTCGCCGATTCTTCAGCTCTGACAAGGCGGATCCAGTCGCTTGTGATAAAACTATCGGATCGGGCCCGACCCGACCAAAAAGAAGAGGATGCGGTAACGAGGCTCGAGATCCACCACCCCGTCGGTCTTGATCGAATCGCCATGCATCCTGGGTTGTGATACGAAGTATATTGTGCAGTCTTGCAGTTGATTCGTTGAGGCGTTTTGCGTCCGTCTTCCTTCCGCTAGATGTTCATGAGCCACGAATGGAGCTTCTCAAGGCCGACGGCCGTTTCCGACTCGGCAGCCTCCTTTGTTCACTCCCTTTGACAAAGAAGGGTTTCATTTACTCCGAAGCAGAAAATCCTGTCTCGATTTACGTTACAAATCGCTCGAACTGTAACGTCCCAATGGCTCCTCTGATTTGACAGATCCCAGAACAAAAAGAGCTCCACGGCCAGGACATAGTTTGAGGTTCTTATCAACTCAACCTCGTGTGCTTTGGCTGTGCAGACTATCCGATACTCCCTTGGACTCGTAGCAATATTGTCGCCGGCTAAGAAGTGGCCATGATCAAGCAGAGCCCCAGACGCATCAGCTTCGGCATCCTTGTCCCCTCCTCTAACACGGTGCTGGAACCTCTCACACAACAAATCATCTCTCAACTGAGCAATGTGTCGGTTCATTTCTCACGCTTTCGAGTGCTTAAAATTGCCCTGGATCCAGATGCCCTGGCACAATTCGACAACAGCGCCATCATCGAGGCTGCCCGCCTGCTTGCAGATGCCAAAGTCGACGTGATCGGCTGGAGCGGGACCTCGTCAGGATGGCTCGGCTTCGACGCAGATGAGAAACTATGCGAGGAAATTACGGCCGCGACTGGCATTCCCGCCACAACATCAGTCCTCGGGCTCAACCGCCTCATCAAGCGCCTGGGAGTCAGAGAAATGGGGCTGCTGACACCGTATACCGACGACGTGCAATCAGCCATCATAGAGAATTATCGCGGGTTTGGCGTGGACTGCTCGGTGGAGCATCACCTGGGTCAATCCGACAACCGAGGGTTCGCCCTTGTCTCTGAGAAAACGCTTGATGACGGTTTCTGGACGTTGGCACAGAGAGGAGCTGGAGTTGTCAGTGTGTTTTGCACCGGGCTCAAGGCGGCCCAGTTGGTAGACAGGTGGGAGGCCAAAACCGGTATCACTGTGTTGGATACCGTTGCGACAGTCTTGTGGGACATGGGTCGAATTGCAGGAGTGGACACGAGCTCGATTCAGGGATGGGGGGTGCTGTTCCAATATTGCTGACGTTGGGGCTTGCCGGATGCGACTTTGAAGGTGGATATATGTGGTGGACGCGCCCTCCAGGCCAGAATTAGAGGCTTCGAAAATGTTGTTTCTATTTCCCTGGCCCTGGAGTCACCCGCTTAGACTCCAGTGCTCGAAGACTGCATTTACAGACCGACAACCTCCTGTCAACTTCTCAGCATACCTGACCTAGACAGGAGCAGTGGTTGTGTTCAAACCTTCACATTTTCGGAGATGCTCCGACAGCGCTCTTCCTACGATGTGGCTGGCATCTGACCTAGCTAATATCCCGCCCTAGCTCGCCGCAGGGACCAAGAATTTCGCGATTGGTCCGCCTCTTCGTGGTTTCTGATTCGCAAGGGTTTCTTATCTCTTGCAGCTGGTCTGGCAAACATGTTTAGACTTAGAAATCATCTTATCCGCCCTGTTGAAGAAAGACTTCTCTTATCAACATAGCAGCTACCTACCAATACCAATACGAATTTGCAAACATGGCGTCCAGACATCGTACTCCCACTCAACACTTCCGATCTCCTCATTGTCGGAGTTGTTCCGATGGAGTTCTCTATGCTACGAGGATGAGTCCATTGTATACTGTCCGTCTCTCACGGCCGCCTCATGAATATAAAAGAGCACCCCGGCGACCGGCCTGGAACTGATCCATTCTGAACTTCAAATCCATTGAAAAACCCCTGGTCAATTCGACAACTGTTGCCGCCACCTCTCCTCACCTTCGGCACAATGGCCTTGAAGCACTTCTGGCAAGATTATGTGGTGCTGAAACCGAAGCCTGGTTCCTTTGGCGCCGACGATGCAGACGCTATTGCGTATACCAACGAAGACATGGATCCAATCAAGCGAAAAGACCGCACATATCAATGGTACCAGATGGGTCTCTTCTGGATCGCCGAAGGGTTCAATGCTGCCCAACTGCAGGTGTCCAGTTCCGCCTTCTCTCTTGGCCTCAATCCAGGATTATGTGTCGTTGCCTGTCTCTTAGGCAATATCATTGTCTCCATCCCGTGCGCGGCCTCTGGATATCTAGGAAGTAAACTGGGGACGAATTTCCCTGGGGTTGTGCGGGCTTCATTTGGACTATGGGGATCTAAGTGGGCTATGATTGTTCGAGCGGTCCCTTGCCTAATATACTACGGGATTCAAACGAGTCTCGCTGGTCAAGCGGTTCAGGCGTGTATTACAGCTATCTGGCCCTCCTTTCGCCACTGGAAAGTCAATGCCTTTCCAGCATCTGCCAACATCACCGCCCAGGAACTCCTCTGCTTTGTCATCTTTTGGCTCATATCACTGCCGTTCCTTTACCTACCGATCAGAACGCTACGCTTTTTGTTCGTGGTGAAGAGCATTTTGGTGCCACTCTACTGGACCGCGTTATTCACCTGGTCAATCACTGCGGCAGGGGGATGGCCCAAGGTCTGGACAAAACCCAGTATCCCGACCAATGGCATGTCCGTCGGGTATCTCTTTGGCATCTGCGTGAATGCCGCTATCTCCGGCAACGCCACTTTTGCCGTCAATATCATGGATATATCTCGACACTCAAAGAGCGACAAGGCGGCTTACCTGACTCAGCTCTTCGCCCTCCCGGTCTTCGTCACGTTGACTGAGCTCCTAGGATGCACAATGGCCGTGGCTTCATCTGTGGTCTATGGCGAAATTCAGTGGAACCCGCTCGTTACCATCAACAACTTCGAGGCGCGAGGAGGTAAATTCTTTGCTGGAATCTTGTTCGTCTTCTTCAACATTATGACGAACGTTACCGGAAACTCTATTCCTTTTGCAAACGATCTAACGGGCCTATTTCCGAAATATATCAATATTCGTCGAGGGCAGTTTATCTGTGCGGTGATCGGATTTGCGATCTGTCCCTGGCAGATTCAAGCCAAAGCCACCACGTTCCTAGCGTTCATGGGCGCGTACACACTCTTCTTGGGAGCGACGACGGGAGTTATGATGACCGACTACTTCTGGGTCCGTCGCGGCTACGGCATCAACATCTCCCATCTTTTCAAGCCGCACGGGATCTACTGGTACGACTACGGGTTCAACTGGCGGGCCTTTGTGGCGTGGTTCGTGGCCCTGGGCCCCTTGCTTCCAGGCATGCTCCAGACCATGGGGGTCAAGATCACCAATAAAGGCATCCTGAACCTGTATTCCTGGAACTACGTCCTCGTGGTCACCTTCTCGGGCCTTCTGTACGTGGCCCTGACGACCGCTGCACCGGTCCCTGTCAAGACAAACGATGAAGATCTGGGAAAGCTCTACTTGATTGACGGACTCGATCCCGAGATCACCACGGGCATGCTGCCCGCCGGCGGCGGTGTTGATGATGGCCGAAGCGAGAATGAGGGCAAGAACGGCGAGAGTGAGAAAAAGGGATTCGAGAGCCAGGTCAATGCTCATTTCGTGGGCAACGTGGTCTAAGCGGAGGAGACATGCGCCGTACACAAAGCGCGCAACTCTGCGTGAAGGATAGAGGCGGGCAGACCTCCCTTCAGGTACCTGCGCGGCGTATGCTGACCACTTTGTGAGAAGGATGGAGAGTCTATGTCGTTATCCATGTCTATAGATTTTCGATGGATGTCGATTTCAGAGCCGCGAGCCAAAGCAGATATGAATACAACCTCGTTACATATCAGCTCTTTCAACATCCATGATCATATCCGTATCTATGGGACTCTGAAATTCCCCTCCCTCTTTTTCCCCACTGACTGGAATGGAACATTCCCAACCTCCTTGTTCACGGTGTATCGGAGTTGACTGTTCTTCGAGACGAACACTAGCTTACTCTTCGGACATTATGCCCATGAGCTTTTTCCCAAAGGACATGAGCTCCTTGTCTTTCCCCGCTTGTCCGATCACCGTCACGCCGAAGGGCAGTTTGTTCCCATTTGCGTTCTCCCACCAACCCACCGGCACGCTGACAGCGGCCAGGTCCAGCAGATTGACGAAGTTGGTGAACCTCCCCATCGCCTTGTTCCGCGTCATGGGCTCTTCCTCCAGCTGGGCGACAGTGAAGTGGTCCACGGTGCTCGGGACGATGAGAACGTCGACGTGCTCCCGGAACTGGATCTCGGCCTTCCGTTTGTGCCGCGCGAGGGTGAAAATGTCCTCGTACGCGCGCTCCGCGCTGAAGCGGTTGTCCATGGCTTGCTGGAATGTCGCTTGGATGGCCGGATGCAAGGAGCTGAGTCCATGCGCCTCTATGTATGGGTTGAAGGCAAGGAGGCGCTGGGAGACGATCGACGAGTCATATAACATCTGATTCGCCGAGGCGAAGGGCACATAATCGAATCCTTCTGCCTCCGTACACCATTCTCTGTGGTCCCTCAGAGCCGTGCATAAGTTTTGGAACAGTCTGGCATAGGCCGGTGATAGGTCACGCAGGAGGTCATCTGGTGGAATGGCAAACCGCACTGGATCCTTCCAAGGTCCCCAAGTGGGCAGCTCTCGGCGGGCGTATACATCACGCTCATCAAACGCATTTATCACCCGCCAGACCTCCTCGACGTCGCCCACCGTTCTGGCCATCACACAGACGCAATCGATATTCTTACACGCTGGAAACAAGCCTTCGGTGCTGATGGTCCCTAGCGTGGGTTTCAGGCCTACGACTCCATTGAGAGCCGCGGGAACCCTTGTACTGCCCCCTGTGTCCGTGCAGACTGTAAAGGAGACCAATGACGCAGCGACGCTCACCGCGGATCCCGACGAGCTTCCGCCTGAGATGTAATCTGCGTCAAAGATGCAGCGAGGGGCTCCGTAAGGGGAGCGGACGCCTGCTAGACCCGTCGCAAACTGGTCGAGATTGGTTTTGCCTACGATGATTCCCCCAGCTTCGATGATCCTTGAGATCACTGGTGCCGTCTGCGTGGCGATATATGTGAATGTCGGACAAGCTAGCGTCGTCGGGAGGCCGCTGATGTCGATCGAATCTTTCACTGAGAACGGAATCCCGAATAGCGGGGGTAGAGGCAGATCAGAGCGATAATACTTGTCCACCAGTTCCTCTGCGCGGCTCAGTGCTTCCGACTGGGGAATCAGATAGATCCAGACGGCCGGATCGTGATCATGGTAGGAGGATATCTTTTCATAGACTTGCCGGACGATGTCGACCGGTGAGAGCCTCCGGGCAGCGTAAGCTGCACGGAGGTCAACGACGTTGAGCCTTGGTATATTTCGAGCAAAGGACGAGCTCATATTGTGCAAAGATAGACAGGGGCAGCTGTTGATCCTAAATGGAAAGATAGATTGGCGTTATGATATCTGGTCGCCAAGAGAGGGAGCAGTTTTGGCAACTTGTTGGCACAGTCAACCCGGTGAAGTGCAGCTGTGGTGTAATTGGGAATGGTGGAGCGAGTATCGCCTCAGCGCCTCATCCGCCATGCCAGCCCTGCAAATATATTATCCATATCGTCGTCTTATCAACGCACGTTGTTGGAAACCATGGCTGCTCGTAGAATCGTGTCGGGAACAGTCCGATACCAAACTTCCAGAGGTACCCTCGTATTTCGGCCGCCGCCCGATGATGCTGCAAGATCGGAAATCTCGAGGCGGGGGGTAACAGCATACTAACCCCAAGGGAGTCTAAATAACCTGGTCTTGTCTAGTGAACCTAGTGAATCCCCCCGACCCCGACTCGATGTTCGACATCCGCGGGACCACGCTCGTCAAACCTTGCGGATTCCTCCTAGCAGCCGACATAGCATAAAAGCGGTAGCGTCATCACCGAGAGTCCATGAAGCCGTGGTATATCCCATCATAAACACAGCATTTGGGAGGCCCTGCAACATAGCCTTGTGCCACATAAATTTTTCACTGATAGAATAGGATTTCCCATCAATTCCATCGGTGGTTTCTACCCCCTAACTGCAATTTGGGCCCCGTAGCAGTGATGATCATGTCGGCGACAATCTTTACTCCATACTTGAGAATGATGCCATCATCAACGATTTTCTCTATCGTTCCCGTAACCACGTTCGCCCAACCACTGCATATCGCGGCATAAAATTCACCATTCGGGGCGAAGCAGACGCGCTGATCGAATGGGTTGTAACGTGGATTGAAGTCCGGATCGGTAGGATAACCTTCGGGTAGTTGTTTCGCGGCGCCCCTGCGGATCAAGTTGCTTGACGTTGTGGGAAACATACGGCGGAAAACATAGAAGCGCATCGGGACGATCATAAACCAAAGCCGATTAAGAGTATATGCTAGAGGCCTTGGTATCTGCCTCCACAACCAAGAAGAAGAGGTTCTGTTGGGTATCGACGCGATGTATGACGGACTGCGCTGCAGCATGGTGACGATGGAAGACCCCTGCGCCAGCACTGGTAGCAGAGTGATCGTAGTGGCACCACTCCCGATGCAAACCACCTCTTTTAGCTGTATGGTCGAGGTCTTCAGGCCAAAACTGGGGGTGGAAAACACGGCCAGGAAAGGCATTTAGGCTTGGAATTACTGGTGATAAAGCTTGCTCGTAATCATAATACCCTGTCCCGAGAACGAGGAATTTTGTGTCCGCTCGTTCGACTCGATTATGCGAATCACCATTAGCTCCCATGTCTGCGACTTGGTCGACCAAATTGCGCTCTGAACTCGACTGTTGAACTGAATATCGCCATCGATGCCCTTGGCGTCTGCCGATGTTCTCAGATAATCCAGAATCGATTTTGCGTCGGCAATAAGGATTTTCCCTTGTCGCCACGAGAATCCAAACGCAAACAAGTCTGAGTCGGAACGCAGCCCCGGATATTTTGAAAAGTCTCATGTACCTCCCATTGCTTTTCGAGCCTCGAAAATGGTGTACATTGTACAGGGAAGCTCGGTTCGGAGGCGGTAGGCGGTAGGCGGTATTGATACCCGAGATGCCTGCACCAACAATCACTACGTCGAAGACATTACCGCTAGTAGCGGGTTCTTTAGTGTTTTTTTTTCAGCGTCCAGCGCGTTGGACATGGCGTTCGAACTGCAGAGGTATTCAGGCCAAGGTAAAGTGTGCGATGTTTAGATTGGCTAGACCGAAATTGTTGTTGACGACGCTTGAATACTTCTGAAACTGGCCTACTGTCACTAAACATTTGGAAAGCATGGCACATTTATCGGCCATGATATCCTGTTCATTACCTATTACCTAGGTAGTATTAGAAGTCCGGTGCCCGCCCTGATCGCAAGAGCGAACCTTGGAGAACGTATGGTGGGATGGCAGCCCCGATCACGCCTCGCCCTCCCGACACCATGCGGGACGAGATGTTAATGCACAATACGCCGCCGCCGGCGACCTCATACTCTCGATTCGGGAATCCACGATGACCAAGGCGAGTATAGGGGCGGCATATCCCCTCGTCGAGCTGGAGATGGCGCAACTGAGATGCTCGCGGTTCGATGAAATAGGTCAAAAAGATCAATTTTCTTTCGTGATGCCCCGCCGCCGCCCGCCTGGGCCCGCATACGATTGCGGACTACATTCAAGGTGTGTATACCTGGGGAACATACGGACTCACATCTGTAGCATTGTAGTGCATGAATAACAAGGTGGCTTCCTTGGGCCCTTTTCCCAGTCAGATCAAGGGTAGATGGATTCTACAAGTACCATGAGCTCAGCCTGTAAACGTCCATCGAAGTGATTTTCCATACTAATAGTTCTCCATAAGACGCAACCTGGGTTGAAGAAACGCACCAGACATTCAAGCTATGTCAGGTGGTCCCTAACATCTACAACCTGCAGAATCGTATTGACAGATCCCCTGAATTGCTTTTTTCACGGCCCTATTTCTAAGGCGGCAGTTCTCATCTCATCTCCATAGACAATGGATGGGATACCCGAAAAAATAGACGTTCATTGCCATTATATATACCATCACTCTGTCGTCAGGAGTGTGAGGCAAATAGCCATGGTGGTTTTGACGGAATCTCATTCTTCCCGGTTGGCTCTTTAATTCCCCCTCATTGTCGTTTGGGTCGTTCCTGATTTATTAAAATTACAGGCATGGGACATTGAGGCCCATCTACGGCTGGCCAACCAGCTGAACATCACCAAGTCATATCTATCCATCTCATCGCCAGGAGTTCACCTCGTGCCAAAGGACAACGAGCTTGCTCGAAAATTGTGTCGAGAGTGTAATAAAGAGGGTGCCGATGCGAAGAGACGTTTTCCCAATCGATTTGGGTTCTGGGCATCGCTCCCAATACCCGACGTGAATGGCAGCCTTGACGAACTCACGTACGCCTTTGACGAGTTGCAAGCGGACGGGGTTGCGGTTATGACCAATAGTCACGGATACTATCTAGGTCACCACGACTTCGAACCGGTGTGGGCCGAGCTTGATCGTCGACACGCTATCGCCTTTGTGCACCCGACGACCGGCTGTGCTCGAGAATATACGGCCGATGGCTCAGTACAAAGTCGGAAGGCCATGCCACTTTCACAATTCCCAAGCCCTATCTTTGAGTTCTTCTTCGACACTGCCAGAGCAGTGATAAACTTATTCTACTCGGGGACGGTTACTCACTATCCGAATATTACCTATATCATCCCCCACGCCGGGGGTTGCCTACCACCCTTGATAGAAAGATTCTTAGTCTCCGCCCGTGCGATGAAAATATCGGTCGATAGCGCGATCGCTCCAGACTCTGTCAAGGTGAAATTGAAGTCAAATTTCTACTTCGGCATGGCAGGGACTGTTTGGCTCGATCAACTACCGAATCTTCTTTCCTTCATCGACAAGAAACAAGCGCTCTATGGAAGCGACTATCCTTTTACTTCAGCAGAGCATGTCAAGATACTGGCGGAAAATATGGAACGGTTCCTGCCGGGCGTCTTCACAACTGTGGACGAGAGGGAAATGGCTTACAAAAAGAACGCCGAGAGACTTATTTCCTGTGACAAGCCTGAGGCTGCTCGTGGTGCTACAGCTTCTAACATCTGAAAACAGGAGGGTTCTGGTCCTCATGTTGTCTTGATCCCAGATGGACTAGGCGAATGTCAGATGATGGACAAACCAATGTCTCTCAAAGCTGCTGAGGGTTTCACTGTGACGACGTTCGACATGCCTGGAATGTCAAGATCATTTAATGCGCCGCCCGAAACGTACCAGGATGTCACAGCCCAAAAGCTGGCCACCATGGTGATCGGTCTGATGGACCGGTTAGACATTCAATATGCCTCCTTTTGGGGCTGCAGCTCGGGCGCGTTAGCTGTCCTGGCACTATGCGCTGACTATCCCGAACGGGTTCGCAATGGATTACCACATGAAGCGCCTACGTGGCTCACGGACCATATCGCCGATCTTCAGTCTCAAGACGCAGACTCCATCGCGGCAACCATGGCCCTTCACTCGAAGGCCGCTTCCGGGAACGAAGCGGCATGGTATGCGCTTGGTGACGAGGTGCACGAGAGGCTTCGCAAAAACTATCCTGGCTGGGCGAATGGCTACATCACCAAGCTGACTCAGTCTGCACCCATTAGTGACGAGGACCTACACAAGAGACCGATAGACTGGACCGTGGGCGCGGGTACTCCAACTTGGCAGTTTTTCAACAACGTCGTTACCGCAACTAAAGCGGGTATCCCCATCAAGACTCTTCCGGGAAACCATTTTCCCTATGTCTCACATCCCGAAGGCATGGCAAAGCATCTTATTGAGACGACTCGAAAGTATCTATAGCGGAAGAAATCTACATCCGTCAGCGTAGGCCAAGGAAGAATGAGGTTGACAAGCCCAGTTAATAGTTGGCCTGAATCTTATTCAACGCGCGCTACTGCCGACTTGACCTCCAGTTCCGAAGCATCAGGTTTGAAGAACATTGTACCTTGGTGCGACGCCTCTCGGGGGAACCGCCGCTACTCGAAATTGGGGTAGGGATGCAACTTCATGAATCATGCCTGGTCGCGCGATAAATGAGAGTAGTATCTATTCTACTGAGATGCCTATTCTTCAACAAAGATGTCTCCTTGTTTCTCGGTTACATACATGTACTCAAAGTTGTCATACCTCGACAGACCTTGCAAGAGAGACTCTAGAGACTGTATGTAAAAGGGTGGTAATCCATGGATGAACTCATGTAACTGTGTAAGTCTCAATTGTGATCAGATCCGTCTGTAGAGATTAATAGACTCTGCTGCTGCTGTATCAAAACCATTAGAAGTAAGCAATTCGGTTGCCCTACCACCAATTCCGGCTGAGTGTGGGTTTCAGAGCTCTCCTCTCACGTGGAACGACGCTTGTTTGGGTATAACTTCCCCAGGCTTCTGGCTTCTCTTCTAGTTTGTGCAGTACCAGAGCTTCGCCTTTGCCTTCACCGAGAAGGTGAGGAGCGTCGAGTCTAACTGGGACTTGACTGTGACAAAATTATTGGTCTGGATGGCATCATTTTGCTGCTCTCGAGAAAAACTTACCTGGTCAATTTATCATCACAGCTTCGGGAAAGCGCAGCAGCAACAATTGCCGGCACTGAAATCGATTAGTCTCTGCCAGTTTATCGCAAGCAGTGAGGTAGCCAAGGACTCACCTCCAAATGACAGTGTGACTAGATAGAGGAGCTTGTATGCATCGGCGAAGACATATTTCGCCGCTGTTGTTGCGGCGGCGAGAATGACTGGAGTGACGCCCTCGATCGATTCTAAAGAAGTGGGGGGATCCGGAGACGAAAGCGGCTAGGGCTCAAGTTAATTTCTCTTGTTCCCACCGGTCTAGATTGCAGCTCAGATGCATACCGATGAATGCCTCAACTTGAGATTTGGGTAGTCCTGCAGCAATTACGGCCGCCGCCAAATCCGGAGCCAGCTTGGCGGCCGTTCTGTTTCGAATGATCGAGCCAAATATGGCAATGGCTATTGCACCACCCGTGGCTCGGGAAGTGCCCATCAAGCTGTGTCATGATTAGCTTGAGTCATTCATACACGCGCAACAAGCCGCCGATTACCCTGTTGCTATACCGATGTCACCGTCTGCGGCTCCAAATTGTAATTCCAGAATCCCGACCAGGCATGTCGCATCCACGAAAGCGGCGGAAAACGCGAATAGAACGACCGCTCGCGCAGGTGTGTACGGGGTTACTGATGAGACCGTTGCCATGAAAGCTGCCATCAGCGCAGTCATGGCAGTGAACTGAAACCTCGTGTGTTTGAATCTACTCCACGAGTATGCTCCTAGAGCGGAACCGACTACATAATAATTTCTCAGTCGCCACAAAGTTTCGACACCTTAGGCATAACTTACCAGTGCTCGGAAAGCCCCATGCCAGACTATACCAACCCACTGTTTGGGGAGCGGTCGTGAACACTTGTTGAACCTCTTTAAACAACGTGAGCGCTACGTTGCTAACAGATAGCGCCGCACTTCGACTCACCCTGTGGCCAAAAAACTAGAAGACCGATCAACTGTGTAAGTGGACGCTGTCAGATCTAAAAAGCTCGCAGGAGTCAGAGTACACCTTCCAGCATGCCCAAAGCAAAAGAGACAAGCAAAGGCATACAGAACTCCCTAATATTCTTGAAGATCTGGGGTGGGAATAGCTGTGCGACTGTGTTGGGACTGTAAGCCTCCCACAGTGGCAGCGCCACAAGGCAACAGATGGCTAAAGAGGTTATATTAGCGGTCATTCACCCTAGGTTTACGGCTGGATCTCGTGTACCTCCCAGTACTAGTGGAGCCCGGACATGTGCGCTCTTCCAGGAATAAGGGTTGTTCCCCCAAGAGACACCAAGCAGAAAGACGGTCAAGCCACCGCCAAAAAGAAAGAGACCCACAAAATCGATTTCTTTAAACTGTTGCCATCGAGTCTTGCCCTCTGGGTGAAGGCTAAGAAAGCCCGGGGGCTAATAGAAGACTGCAGAAAGAATTAATGCAATGGAGTTGGCCATAATACCCACGTAAAAGGCCCAACGCCAGTTCAGGTGGGTCACGAGGGCGTACGCTGCGAGCGATTCAGTGTCAATTTTCCTAGCTTGCTTGGTCGCTTTATGCGGATGGAAAGGACTCGGCCATGCATCACACACCTATCACCGAGCCGAAGCAGGAGCCAGGGAGTGCTGCGCAGTTCATGGCTGCCAGGGTCTGCCCTCTCCACTTTTTGGGAACGATTTCGCCTGCGCAAGCGAATGCAAGAAGTTGAGCTCCTGCAGCAACACCCTACTAATTGTCAGTCGTGGTAGTGTAGAAGGTGGTTCGCACCAGCACACCATCAGAGTAAATCCAGCAATGATAGCTGAGACTGCTTGTGCTCTAGACTCGACAATTAGCTCTCCACTGAGCACGATGGAGGCGAGATGAAGGACTGACCGACAGGCAACAATACAACCTGGGAAATCTTAGTAGGAACAAGGGAGTAAGGCTGGGTATTACACGAGACCCACCAACCAAGCCGAACACGTTGCCTGCCAATATAAATTTCCTTCGCCCGAATATATCACTGCACCGACCGGCGATGGTTTGAAGAACCGCCGTCAGCAGGAACCAGGCTGTGGCCCCTCATACAATCTGAGCCGAAGGCCCAATGTCCGCATTGGTTGTGAGGAGAATGACCGATGGAAGCGCAAAAGACAAAATGCATGCCTCGTAGGTAAAGGCAGGAGCCTAATTCCAAGCATCATTTGTCAGAGTTGGCCCCCAAAATGGGCAAAATATAATCACGATGGAGAACAAATGAAATTTCGAATTGGCCGTCACCGAGCCAGCTGATATCTTACCTCGCACAAACAGCAGACCGATTTCTCTCGAATATTTAAGATTAAATGTTTAATGCTGTGGTAGTCTCGATGATTCTTTCCCCGTCTCTGCCTTGCGACTTCCCTAGGTCCCGCCTGGCCATGCGGGCGGGATGCGGAGGGTAACTAACTTCATTCGGAATCGGCTCCACTTACAGGCTTAGCCCTTATGCTTCTGTACCTGGTACTGCGCACTGTGTAATAGTGAGTCTCGCCGAGTAAACGGTTCTCGATTAGTAAGAATTTATGTAAAGATTATTTGTACGGAATGGTGCAGTCTCCTGCTGAGGAAGTCCTCCTTCCTCTTTGTGTCGCTCACTGGCTTTGACGCTATCGACTCCGCAGTCGTTTCCAAACAAAAGGTGGGTAAGGAGCATCGACCGAGATCGATGGACTCGCATCTCCGGATTTCTGTGCGGGCAGGCAAGTCCGGGAGAAGATGAACAACATATCAAGTCCTTTCAGCCTTTCGCCTCACCGCCGGTCATATTACAATCAACTTTCAAACATGCCTGAAGATTATTCACATGATGTGCAAAGCCAGTGCGTGCACGGATGCTAGCACCATTTGACGAGGGGCCCGCGAAATGCTGGTCAGACGAAAACCTTACCTGGAGCCGGTTTTGTAAGGTTGACCGACAATGGCCGAGAATCAAACTCGGTCTGCCGCGGCTCGAAGTGCTTCTTTTGACCTCAAAACTGCCTTCTGTAGAACCGAGCGCTTTGCGACGGAACACAATGCTACTAGGGTCTTGCGCCGCGCCCTTTTGAGTATCACTACAGCTCAGAAGGTCATCCGGACTTTCTCCTTCAAAACGTGTGAAAATGCAACGACAGCCTTCACCCCACAGCCTGACAAAGCGACGAACTTGTCCTTATTGCTTCAAGGAGTTTGCAAAAAAAGACCACCACAGTCGCCACCTCCGGTCCCACACAAAAGAAAAGCCATTTCGTTGTAATATATGCGGGCATCACTACCCTCGCCGGTAAACAATCATGAATGAATTTAAAGCATGGTTGTCGCGGAGATGGCTGACCTGACATAGAGATACTCTGCTACGCCACGTCAAAATTCACGAGAGAGAATCCGACCCACGGAGATGGCGACACGCGTTCGTAAATAATCACAGTGTCCAGGGTTCTTGTCAACGCCTCTCATATCCAAATGGCCCAGATTCAACAAGCATACCTAATGTCTCAGAAGGGGTGGGCTTAGTAGATACCACAACCTCACTCCACATCCACCGAGCCTTCTCCAGCAAGACGTTCAATTCGAGCACTGATACTGACGGCCCAGCGTCCTCCTTTGCTCGGTCCTCCCAGGAAGGCTCGAACCTAACCACCTCCAGGACTGATGCGGGAAACACTAATGTTGATTTCAGATCTCTCACTGGCTCGATCTGCTCGGAGGCTACAACAAGTCTGGGCACTACGGGACAGAATCCAGAACTGGGGGTTTTCTCTCAAGCTCATCAAAATAGCAGTTGCAGTCCACTGACTAGCGCGAGCGGTTTAAATGAAGCACACTACTCGCTAGATACTTCGGACTGGTTTTTGGAGAATGAGTTTTTCGAGCTGTTCGACTTTAAAAGCCTCCAATCAGGACCGCTGGACGGTCAACTCGCGAGGGAGAGCGATGCTTCTCCACATATACGGGACCTACGAGATGTGTGGTATGTTCCGGTGGCAAAAAATGACATTGATATCGGGACAAGTGCGAATGCAACATCATCCAAGCAGGCAACAGATCTCAGGGGCGACATTGATGAGGCCTATCGTGCGGACATGGCCACTACACTACTGCCTCCTGTCCGCAACGAGCCTCTGCCATCGATTGACCTCCTGGTAAGTGATGTGCCATCAGTCAATCAGGTCACACTGTCTCATAATTCAGCAGAATGTTTGCATCCGTCTCTTTTTTACACGTATAAATGTGATGCTGCCTCTTGTCCATGGTCCGACATTCCGAGCAACTCCAAACAACACCTTATTAGTCCTGTCAATATGTTCGGCCGGGACTTTGACAATGGAATCAGGCAATGCCGCCAAAGTGGGTTGCATGCTTTTCGAACGGGTGAACAAATCGGGCATGACACTCCCTTGGGAAAGAATTGTTTCTAGGCAGTTAGAACAGGCGCGCAGCAACCTGAAAGTGGCAGCAATTGGGCAGACTTTTGCTCTTTTGTCGGGAGAGCCTGCCCATAGGATGATCGGGAATTCATTTCATGGAGGCATGATCGCCGTAAGTACAGACCAGCGAACCCAGAACAGCGGCTGATTCGTTTCCAATCTAGAGCGCCCGGCATCTGAAACTCTTTGATGACACGCCTCCTCTTGAACTTGCTGATGATCTATCCCCAGGGGATCTTGATAAAGCATGGAGAGCCTGGGCGAGCGATGAGGAGATGAAAAGGTAATTATTAGTTTAGCCGCGGGCATGATTGGGTCTGACATGTCCTATCTTCAGATTCGCACTTATCCTGTACATTCAAGACGCCGAATTGGCCGCTTTATTTCACCAAGAGCCCAATTTTCGCCACAACACCCGCCCCCTGCCCACTGCTTCGTCGGCGGAATTATTTGCTGCTCCAACGGCGGCGGCATGGGCGGCTAAATACAGGGCAATGCGAAAGCGAAAGGATGGGCGGAACAACCTTCCATCAGAGCACAGGGAATTGGTTTCTGAATCGGAAAGACCAGTGCAAATCGATTATCGACACCAGCCAGACATGCTCAATGCCTACGCGATCCTTTCTGGCATAGGAGCCTCCATCTGCGAATTTCGACGTTTGGACCTTCTATCATCGGACCTAAATAGGAAGCTGGGCGCCGACCTCGTCCAGTGGTATGCTTCTGCCAGAATTTTCTCTCAAGCTAGCGAAGAATCTGAGACCCCATCTGACCTTCCTATCTCCTTAAAAATTCTGTGGCACTACACGTTCATATCTTTGACAGTCGATCTAAACATTCTTGAGGTGGCCGTTGGGAGGGAAGGCCGTAACGGCATCGTCCCGGATGTCTGCGAGTACGTTCGGTCGTGGGTCTCGGCCTTGAACTCGAAACGGTCTCTTTTTCACGCCCTGTATCTCCAAAACTTGGTCGTCTCAACGAATTTGGGATCCTCTACCGCCATCCATACGGCGAGGATACTTTTTTCCGCCGCTCTTTGCTGGTATTGCTACATCCTCTACCTTCCCACCGCGGTAACCGCAACTGAAATGGCGGTTAATTCAAACCCTGACGAGGTCCTGGAATATTTGACACAGCTTCCTGAATTGCGTCTGTTACGCACTGAAAGCGGCTCCTGCAGCCCGTCTTCCAATCTGTGGCACAAAACGATGTCAACCTTCCAAAAGATCCTGGTGGCAACGCCTGCCGAAGTGAAGGAAAACACTCTGTGTATCATCGAATCAGCTCTTCGGGGTCTAGGAACAAGCGGTATATCGAGACGCTTCGCAGATATCATTTATATCTTCATCTCAGGGGAAATAAATAGCTAATGGCTAGCCGCCACCAAGCCGCCTGAATTAGGGCCCAAGGAACCCAGGATCTTTGTGCTCGAAATTGAATTAAGGTTTTATCACGCTGTATACCGTCTCGGGTCAACAGCATGTCCATACGATGGAATGACTTAAGGGCCACGGGAAAATGGAATTGATCAGTTCCACGCGGCATCTATCTTGTTTGCCAATTTGTCTAGCACTCATGTGGAGAGACTTCTATTGATGCTCGACCAGCAACTGTTCACACGGCTCCGGGAAGCCTGATTTCCCCGGAATGTTTCATGTGCTTGTCATCTCATGGCTTTCCGGACCAGATATCCAACAGGAAATCTTCCGCCTTCGTCATGCGCAAATCTGGAAGCAGTTGATTCCATTCATCGCTGACGCCAAACCCTCCCTTCAAAGCAGCCTGCAAGACGCCGGCCACTATCTGTTTCGCAAAGGCCACTCTCATTTCTGGGGCGATCGCGGGATGATCCGCCGGGGGCAGCCACGAAGTATTGAAGCTGGCATCTTTGAGCTGGGCCTGGGGGACTGCCTCAACTTTCATGGAGCCTGCGGCCGAAAGAAGGCTAGGGTTAGCAGCGGGTACGCAAAGGGGTCATCTACCATACCGCGCACCGATTCTGCAAGCTTCAAGAATTCCGAGTTCATGAATGTGTTGCCGCTAATCCCACCTCTTTCCGGCCACACGCCTTTGTAGTCGATGGCCGCAACGACCACATTGACCATGTCTTGAACAGTCGTGAGAGTAAGTGGAAAATCAGCATCGGCTGGGATGATCGCGCGCCGATGTTCCAGGTCCCACGGAGTACAGAACAGTTGAACGTGCTTGGTGGAGGCGTGGGGAAAGCCCAGGTAATTCAAGAACAGACCTGGCTGGAAGAGGCAGTATTCTAACACCTAAAGGAAGTGTCTTGAGTAGCACAATTTGTTAGTGGTGAGAATCGTCCATACCTTTTTGTCCTTGTTGATCTGTTGGAGATATTCGTGCACCAGATCTTTACTTTTATAAAGTGGGTTGCCACTGTTGCTCCCTCTATGCCCAGATCAGGATTAGTTAAGTTTTGTATCTCGAGCAAAACGTCTACAACGAAACCTACAGTGCCCATTCACTAGGTGCAAACCTTCTCACACCAGCCGCTATACTGGCATCCACGAGATTCTTTTGCGCTGTGCCATCTGGGTCGAGGTGGCTAACAATGAAAGAGAGTACCGTATCCACTCCCTGTAAATGTTTGATAAGGTCCGCTTGGTCATTATAGTCGACTTGAGCCATTTCAACGCCGGGCAGGTCGAGCTTAGAAGTATCCTAGAGGATGTAACGGCGTGTCAGAAAGAATTTCTCGCGCCGAAATAAGGATCCGAGCAGCTTACGGAGCGACTGAACACAACGACCTCGTGTGATCCCTTCGCCACCAGCCCATCCAAAACTTCTCGTCCAACATCTGGCTTCGAATTGGTATCAACACAAAGTGCATTATGAGATCCAGTAGACTTACTGCCGGTGCCACCAGCTAGCGCGATTCGGACCATCCTGTTGCTTGTGAGCCTGTCGTGTTCTGTCAGTCTGGACGATCCTTGGGTCCTTGGAAGGGTTGGTCGAAGTCAGTCGATATAAGGATCTTTCCGAGCTCCTTGCTTTTGGTACTCAAAAGATTCTAGGCTTGAATTTCATTGCCCCGCATGCTGCTGCCGTACTCGGTTAATCAGTGCTGACTAGTGCACAAGGGGAAAGTCCCGGTGGGGAGCCAAGCTAATTAGTGTGGAGAGAAATGCCTAATCGGGGGGTTCCAAGGGTGGGATCAAAGTTCAGCCGTCGGGGCACAGGATGACGGTTAATGGAGGAGGTGGTTGGAAACAATGATTCCCTCTTGGTCTACACTCTAAACGAGAAACATTGTATCACTTTCTTTGGGTTTAAAACAGGGTTGGACGTGCGAATATCCCGAAGAACGTCCAATGACTAAGATCGAGGAGAGCGGGCCAGACTGTCAACGCTACTAGTCACATGCATCAGTACTGAATGGAAAATGCACTACTCCCCGTAGTGACAGGGCATCTTTCGTTGACTATGGGAAAATCAGCCGTCTCGTCCACCAGCTGTATATAAGTGCATTCTGGCCGTGATATCCACGCTGCGACATTGACATCTTCGTTTGGCGCACTGCTTGGGACTTCAGTGTGCTATGTTAACAGTTTATCCTCTCAAAGGATACGAAAACTAATTCAGAAATCAAGAAAACGTTTCAGCAAGATATGTTTTGTTGGGAGGGGGTTGCACTTCGAAGATGGATATTCAATGCATATAGACTTGGCCTTGTCCACGCGGTCTTTCCATTTTGTCCAAGCACTTTCCTTATCTTGTCTTGCCCCAACTAGATATCAAACTTTTCACCAACCTGCTCCTCAATCAGTTTCCACAATCTTTCCGCATTGCCCCTGTCCTCGGCGTACTCGTATATTGACTCAACTTTCGTGTCGGCCAGGTAGGCTCCACTGTTCCCTTTGACTCTAAGATCTAAGGCCGCTATGAGCGTGGTAGTGATACCTGCCCGATGGGTTTGGGAACATCCTCTGCCATGATGAAATGGCGTCCGGTATTCTTGACGGCTATAGGGTCGATGCTTGCCAGCGATTTTTCGACCTCTGTAATGTACCTGCCCAAGTTTGTGGTCAAAATAGCGCCAGGATGAACGGCGTAGCTTTGAATCTCGCGAGACCGGAGCTTGTCGGCAAGAGCACAGGAGAACAAGATACTCGATGTCTTTGCTTGACCATACCCCGACCAGGGGTCATACTCCTTGCCGTCAGTAAAGTTGTAGTTGTCAAAACAGACGGGACCAATCTTGTAGCAAAGACTAGTCAGATTGACAATGCGTGCACCAGGACCAGCAGCAAGAATCTTGGGCATCAAGATTTTGGTAAGTAGGAAGTGGCCCAGGTGGTTTGTCGCGAATTGCAGTTCGATACCGGTCTTGTTTGTTTTGTACTCGTCGACAGCCATGATCCCAGCATTGTTGATCAAGCAATCGATCTTATCTACTGAGTTGTTAATAGTGTCAGCGGCGCAGCGAACAGAGTCGAAGTCATCCAGCTCAATGGGTGTAAAGGTGGCTTTGATGGAGGGGTTGAGATCTTTGATTCGAGCGATGACGGGATCGACTCGAGTTTGGGCGCGAGCCGTGAGAACCAAATGTGCGGGGTTCGCTTGAGCCAGAGCGATGGCAGTCTCTGCACCGAGACCTTTGTCGCTTCCACCAGTAATGACAACTGCCACATTGTCAATAACGCCGCACCGGAGGTCAATCAAGGGAGGGGATTTCACATGTCTTGCCCTTGACTTGATCGGCAAGCTCTGTCACTACTTCAACGCCAGTGGTGGCTCGCACGAAGTCCTTCATGTTGTTCAGTGGAGCTGTTAGTTGGGAGTGGATTCAAAATCGCTAAGTCGGGAGGTTGTTTGCCCTTTTTAGTCAGGTTGTCGCCGATGCGAGGACATCCTGCCAGGTTACCCTCTCCAACAGCCTCTTACCATGTTGAAGACCTCATCATCATCATCATCATCGTCATGTCGATGGCTCAAATTTCACGCGGCCTTGACGGCCATAGCGGGGCGCTCCGCATTTCACGGGGCTAGACAGTGGGAGCATGGACAGGAGGGCGGGGTACATGGATCTACTAGTAGTACAGCCGGGGCGGGAGAGTGAGGAGTATAGAAGGCGTGTGACTCAATGGAGGACGTGGCTCCTTTCAGGAGATTCTGACGGCTGTCAGACTCCTTGCTACCGAAGTCCTAATGGAGAGCTGGTTCGCTGCCTACTCGCTGCTGGCCCTAAACGGTATGTTTCCCGATGTTTGCTTGGCACGGCAGAATCCTTCACGTAGGAAATTCGTATCGGCCACCGGTTGAGCTCTTAGAGGGCTCGCGGAGAATTCCGTCAGCAACTTGGAGGCTGGATATTACGGACGCTTTCGTAGGTAAGAGGAATCGGTTTCCAATCTACCATGCTTCTGTCTTTATCATCTTCGAGAGACCATTAAACTCCGCACACTTGGTCGTGAATATCAACGTCATCTTCTATTCGTTACACACGAAGACATCCTGCTCTCTATTTCACTATTTCTGCTTTCCCCCAGTCTCAGACGGAACCCAAATTCAATATGAGAGGCAGTTCTGGCAAGTTGTGATCTGCATGGGTTGATTGGGCACATCTGTTGATCTGACTCTCCTCTTGATTAGGGTGTAAGAAATGTAATCGTCGTCGCATTCGGTGTGATGAGACTCGCCCGCGTTGCCATAAGTGCATCTCTCGCGGGTTCCTCTGTCCTGGATATGGCAGATCTCTCAAGTGGATTTGTGGCAGTGTCAGCAAAGGACCGAACCGTCGCGAATTCGTCTCTCATGAGGCTAGAGCCAAACAACACACACAGCTTGCCTGCGATCCGTCCGAGTGCGAGACTGGTGTTGCTCCAGATAATTTAGCCTGGGGATTCAGGCCGCAGCCTTGCCACCCAATCTCCCTCTTCCAATCCGAAACCCATTCGACTCGAGAATGGGCACTTCTAGATCATTTTACCAAGGTTGTGTCTCATCAACTAGCCTGGTATGATGATGGATCTAATCCCTGGTGCTGCTTGATTGTTCCACTTGCATCACATTCTCCGTCTCTATTTTCTGTTATCCTTGGTGTTGCAGCGAGCAATCTGGGATCGCGTTTCTATGACCAGACAGCGATCAGGGACCAGTACCTAGTATCCATGTTCTCACATCGTGAACATGCTTTTGCGTTGCTTTCCAAGGATCTCATGGCTCTCCGGCTCTCTTCCGACCCATCTACGGAAAGTCACCAACTGCGTGCGAAGGCCGTTATTGCGAGCATTCTATTGCTGTCCTATCTTGAGGTACATTGGCCAACATCAGGGGCGTGGCTGATGCACTTAGACGGCGCTCTTAGGATGGAAGCCATTGTTCAGCTGGCGACCTTTAATGATGCTACGGCTTTTTTTCTGTCGGAAGAGCTCTTCGCCGCCAGCACTTGGCCGCTTCTGACGAGGTTCAACTCTCACTCGACTTTCACCATTTATGATTCCGAGTTGGACGGGGAGTGGAGCTTGGGAAGAATGCACCGACCGGTGTCTGTATTCACAGCATTCCTATCAATTCTCAGAGATATAACACGCATTGAGCGCCAATATTGCGAGACCGTCAATGACCCTGGGAACCAGCTCCACCTCAGAAGGGTTTTCGAAGAAGTACAACTGAACCTCACGCAAGCTCATAAATCGGCAATCGATGCGTTGAGATCGAAGTTGATTATTCATCCCACTTCCCATGCGGAGGACATGAAGCATCTCATTGACGCCTACTTCTACTCAACCAAGATATATAGCTACCGAGCGCTCGTTCATTTCGAGTTCGATCCTAATAGCCTCCGCAGCATGCGCGGTCGTCTCCTTGACGCGCTCCTTGCCTTTCGGAACCCCGATTCCTTTGCCCAAGATCAGCCTTGGCCATTATTTGTCGTGGGTGTGGAAAGCACAGATGATGTATCTAGTCAACACTGGGTCGAACATCGCATGAACCGTGTCATTCAGTTATACTGTTCCATCGACCGGCCAAGGATGCTCTGCTTCCTCAGAGCGTTTTGGGCGCAGAAAATCCAGCGGAATTGGATCAGTTTTGCACGGAAATGGACCAAAGACTATTTTGAGTTTCTTGTACTATAACTGGCAACTCAGATACTCTATATTCCGGCTGCTCAAAGATGTACAGTCTCGTCGTCCTCTACACCGAACAAGATCTGCATCGGGTCCTTATACTTGTAGAATCCAACCGCTGGCTGACTGATCCCATAGCCGAGGAGGCGCTGTACCTGAGGGGAGAGTTTCCTAGCTTGCTCGGGCGGGACAGCCAAGGTGTGATTCTCTTCCGGGCGTAAGAATCCCTTGCACATAAACAATCCTACAATCTCGCGGATTTCGTCCCTAGAATCACCAAATCAGTTTCAAGGAACTGTAAAATGCGAAGAGAAAAGGGGAAGTTTTAGTTGGCGTGCGTATACTTCGTTTTGTTGGCTCCACCTCCGTGGTATACATTGCCCGAGAAAATTAAAGCATCGCCCACATCAAGTTCAGCCGGTATAGCTTCGTCGCCCTTCGGCGCCCGGTTGAGACTCCAAAGGTGTGAGCGAGGGATGATCATCGTCGCGCCATTTTCCTTTGTCGATCTAGTCGTGGCAACAAGACATCCCATCATACAAGAGTCTACTCCGGGCGGGAGGTGATAATCACTTCATTTATGCCCGAGAGCAGTAAGTACAAGTTCTGAAAGTATAACCAAAGCTTCAAGTCGCGAAAGTCTGAGATACATACCTATCGTCACGGTGCAGGTCCTGCTGGCGAGAACCCGGGTGGATCTGAAACCCAAAGGTACCGGCCAGAATCGGCTTCGAAGTCCATGTTGCACGTTTCTCTCCATACCAGGGTTGACAAGTGCTTGTGAGCACCGCGTTGCAAACATCGATCCAGAGTTTGTTGGTAGCTAGTTCGACACACGCGGGAGACACCCCGAGCAGTCCTGTCGCACGTCGAGTGGTGGTCGGGAAAAACCCAGAGGTGTCAGGGATGTCGGCTTCATAGACGGGCTTCAGTTCTGCACTAATTCGTCCAGCGTGTTCTTTTTCGAGAAGCCCGTTGATGATCACACCGCCATCCCTTCGAATGATCTCAACAACTCTGTCGAACGTTGTAGACGGGTCCTTGCCGTCTAGTCGTTCGAGTTGAGTAGTTTGTACAACAGCCATCTGTACACCGAGGAATCGTTAGGTTAGCAAAAGCGGGTGTGTGTCGTAGAGGGGAGTATGGCAACTATGAACTTTGCAACGAGGGGTTGTCTATGCTTATGAGGATCAGTGTACGGGGGGAAATTTTGAATCGAAATGTACCAAGTATTCTGCCGCAGAATGTCGGCATGAGTGGCTAAGCTCTCCAGCCAGTGGTATGCCCAAGCCAAGTGGGGCAGATGCCTAGAGCGTACAAGCGGCTAACTTTACCAAAGCAACCTCCCTTTTCCCCCATGAATGTAGCTTAGCTTATTTCATTGACAGCTCCTAGCTCAAGCCGCTAGCCCGAGTGGCATTCCTCGAAGAGAAGATCAAGGCTTGGCCAGTAGCGCGCTGGAGATCAGCCCCGTTAATCTCGACGACATTGGACTTCTCCCTGTCAAACGCTGGGATTATGACGCGGCTAATGAAACAGGGTACCTTCTAAGGACTGCCGACAGGTAAATATGCATCCGCGGCTTTGTCGGGTCAGCTCCAGTAGGGAAGGCTGTGTATAGGAACATTCCGCATGATGATGGTATGCCTTGCATAAGCAGGAGCAGGATGCTCGATGTTTACCTGTTAGACGAGTATTATCGTGGCCACTATGTACTGGCAGGACATTCAGAGCTGAGGCCTAAGCTCCGATCAAGTCGCGGGGCACATGATGTGGATGCACATAATTCAATGGAGTACTTTGCTCAGACTCAAAGTGAGTGATTGGTTTGGTCAACTATACTTCGGCTTCGGAAGATTTTTAATGCACTGTCTCCAAAGGCTGGCAGTGTGATTGCAGCGTTGGTGGATGTTCTCCTCTCGTCTCCTGCGGGATCGAATGACACGAACTTTGGCTTTGTGCAGTTTCCGACAAAAGAGATCAATTAGTAGTTGGAAATATTATTATTGTGGATGGATACAAAAGCACTTCATACAACAGCACTCTTGGCTTCCATCTCCGCCCGTGCTCCCTTTGCTTCGCCACCGCCGGCAGGTAGCCCACGACATGGTGTCTCGGATGGGTTCAATGCTGGAGAAGGCATTTACAGAGTGAGGCCAACATCCGTCACACTCTGGGCGGGTGTTGCACCCCATCACTGTCCGGCGATTGCTCCACCGTCGACGAGGATGTCATTGCCAGTGATGAAGGATGCTTCGGGACTGGCCAAAAACCTTATGACGCCAGCAATCTCATCGGGCGTACCAATCCGCCCTGACCCAGACTGCTGAATCATCCTCCTCATGCTTAGGCTCGACTTGCCGTCTAATTCCTGCTGTCCCAGCGCTGTGCTGATTATCCCAGGACTTGTCGTGTTTAGTCGTGCACCTTTCCTTCCCAAGCATATGCAGCGGCCTGTACACGCAGCTGATTAGCGCGCTTGGCCACCATGTACGCGGGCCCAGGATGTACCGCGACATCGAGTTGTGCGTGCTGAAGTAGTTGGTCGCGAGGAGCTGTTGCAAGATGCTGCTCCAGGCTAGATGACAGTGATGGGAAATGTGCGGCCATGCTATCAATGCAGATCAAGGATGTGCCAGAAGATGCGACCAGTTCAAAGGCGTCGATGATGTTGGCGGTTGAAAGCAAGTTGACATTGTAGATCTACAGCGTGGTGGCAATGGCTGGAGAAACGCCCGCCGTGTGAACGATGGCCTCTATCGGGTCGAGAGCTGGTGCGTCTTGAGTCAGCTTGTCTACTGACTTGTAATCAGTAATGTCTACTTTGTGAGCTCGGACTTTGAACCCCTCCGACTGAAAGGCTGGCTGTGGCGGTCCGTAGAGCTTGTTCCCGAATAGTCAGCGAGCTCTAGTTGGCGTCCCGAACCAAGCCGTTGTGCACTGGCTAGGCCAATCCCTCCTGTGCCGATAACAATTATCACCTTGCCTGCTATGTTTGCTAAAGCCATATTCCCTCGGCGGCCTTTTCACGAAAATCTTTATGACTAAGGGGGCCGACGGATACAGGTTTTCAATTTCCTGAAAATTGGCCTTTCCCCTCTGCGGCTAGCATGGCGGCCCAGATCTAGGCGTTTTCCAACTCAACCATGAAAAAGCGAATATATAACAAACGAGGTAATACTCATTGAGATACTCCTCACCTACCTTAGCGCGCATCCACGAAAACTCCTTGCCAAAGATTTCCGAACAATCACTTTATAGAGCTTGGTGTAACTTCTGCTTTGTGGTCTGGGAGACTCACATTATTTTCCTGGAGAGCCTGCCCTCGTCGTCCGCCCCGCGGGTTGAAGTGTACTTCTCGCTGCACGATATTCCGGCCATGAAACGGAAAGGTCTGAAAAGTACAAGGTCCATCAGACTTCGTTGGCAGATAGGCTGACTTCATCCACGGTACTGTCTAACAAAGACACAGGTATTCCGTCCAAGACTCGAAACCATCACCGATTGACAAACCTAAGCTGACTCCATCGCTGACCCTTCCGTGCTACGTGAGGGCTGTCACATCCTTCCAACTCCGCGATGAACGGTTGACTTGCATCCTTGGTTGATGAGACCCATTCCACGTCAATGCTCTCATGATCCCTGCTCATAATGCCGTCTCGACTCAGAGTTTGGAATTTAAGATCAGCTGGCCCGATGAGCACTTGCATCTCGAATTCGGCACGAAGGTACTCGGGACCGACATTGTACCAATGTCGGTTTTTCCGCTTCATGTCTTGAGGCAGCTGGGATTCGACTTTGCATACAGGCTGTGCCCCAGGGTCGTTCAGACTACTGGGAAGTCGATTTGGCGGTAGACTCGACATTACAATTTGAGACTGCCAGGGCAAGTGTTCGCTTCCTGGCTGGATTTTCATCGAGTACCGCTGCTTGACGCCATTTTGTACAGAAACTTTCTGGCCCTGCTCAACCCTTAAGCCTCCACGCTTAATCTTAGTGGGAGTTTCATCCGGACCTACCTTTACAACGAACCAGTCTATCTGCTTTTCAACCCATATTTTGTTGTCTCTGGGGTCGATGATAACGGGTTGCCCAAGGTGGTACTTGGGGTCGTATTCTCGCCTCACTACGACCCCGTATGAGTTTCGACAGTATCTTTCCTTGTAAACGGATCGGTTTGCTTTGATCTGCTGAACCCGGTCAAGAACTAGTCCGTGGCAGACCGCCAGTTGAGGCTTGGGAACTCGGAGAATTTGTAGATCCTTTACGTTTGGGAACTGAGTCGGTCCGCTTTGGTATCGAGCTATGAGTCTCTTCTGAAGATACGGCGAACTTCCAAGGCCACCAGACAACACCATATAAGTGACTTGCTCCGCAGGTTTTGTCGTTTGTAGATGGGTCAGCTGTTCGTCGATCAAGTTGGTAAGTTTCTCCACCTGGTCGTCGAAAATTGCCTGGACTTCTTCCTTCATGATTATCATCTGGGAGTCCTCAACACCGACTGATTCAAAGTTTGTGCCATATGGCAAACCCGGTATCGGCAGTCTCAATGACGGCAAATCCATTGCCTCGTCACCGAGATTGCATTTGAAGCTTTCGAACCTCGAGTTTTCCCTTAGCATTCTATACGCCGCCGTCTCCGGTTTCAATACTAGGTGCTCCCGAATCGGCTCCAAACGCTCAATGATCAGCTTTTCCATTCGGTAATCGATTAATGTTGACCCGATGGCTCGACCTTCCACCCACGATAGAGGCTCAAGCTCGGTCTCTCCGATCCCTGAAGCTAATACTTTCAAAATATTGACATCTGATGTGCCTCCACCGGCATCACACACGAGGAACACGTCCCCAGAAGAATATTGCTGCTTTGATGCATACACGGCAGCAGCTTCTGCCTCTGTCAAACTGACCTCGACGGTTTCTCTCGGACTGCGTCGACCGAATCCTGCTTGGTGAATGAGCTGCTTTGTCTCGGCGATCATGGCGGGATTTTTCCAAGTTGTGGGAACGCTAAACCGGAACTCGACACGCTTTGAATCATATCGCGGAATGGTATCTCGCAGATGGCGCTCTACCGCTTGATGGAGACGTGACAGGTAGTCTGTGAACCACCTTTGAGCTTCCTGGACGGAAGGCGCTCCTTCGTATGGATCCTTGAAATCGGGATCCAGATAAAGCTTGAAAAGCTCTTCCACTCGAACGTTGTCCCCGACGCGGCAGGAGTCAACCATAAATCCCCAGGACACGATCTCGCCATTCGGATCATAGGCGATTTTAGAGTCGACCTTGTCCGCTATCCCTCCTCTGAGGTTTCCAGGCCAGTTCTGAATTGTCTCTGGCCTCGTCCATTCAGGGCCGGCAGAATACGCGACACCTGTACTGGTCATTCCAAAATCGATTCCAACAATGACATCTGGCGTGGACGCCATTTCCGAAGGAGCACGAGCCTTGAGATGTTGACGAGCTTGTTACAATGGAGGTCATAAACAAAGAAATTCAACATAGCCTGTGTGGCTAGAAATTTTATCAGCGTTCCATGTTTGCTCGAGGAACCATCAATTGGCTCAACCATCGCCGGCAGACCTTATCACGCCCTAATCCCTTGCACGGATCCCTGTTCTGTTTCAGCCCACGGGCACTTTTCAAATTGGAGAAATGCTCGTGGGTCTCTTCTCATCTCTTCCCTTAGTCTCGCCTTAGTTTGTCGACAAGGCAGATTTGGCCCTACTTGTGCATACGCCTTGCCAGGACCATCCACTCCAATCACTAGTGTAAGCCAGCAACCATTTTTCGTCCCAGGAAGGTGCGAGTATCTGCTGTGACTGCCTATCACCAAGTACAGAAGCTTTCCTTTCTTTACACTCCCTCCTAATGCCTTTGCCTCTTCGATTTCACTCATTGGATACTAGTGTGCGAGAATCATTGTTTCTAGAGTCGTTGCTCGGCTCTTCTAGAGACCATGGCAGAAATCACCTTTACCGCTCCTGTGCCTTTACCTGCAAACATGGCATTCGTTGGCGGAGCGACTGTCTCAGCGTCAATCTCTCTTCCCCTCACGACAACACTTGTCACTTGGACCGCATTGAGTGCATATGGCCCAAGCACACGGCCAGGAACCGCCACTTTTGCTGCCATCTTGTCAATAGCAGCCCCTCTGGAGTCAAGAGTCATTACTGGTAATGGTGACTTCACGGTTTATCCCAACCCTGGCGGCCCAACCACAGCCAGCGCGAAGTTTACTGGCAATTCTCCGGACTCGTCCTTCCCAGGGCCGACTACATCTATATCGCTGCAATCATCGGCATCGCCAGCCCCCTCTTCAGGCTCTCTGTTATTGTCGACCTCCCCAGCTTCGGTAGCAACATCTCTGGGCTCTCCATCCTCTTCCACCAGTCCCGTGTCTGTTGCTCAGCCTACACAAACCAAGACGCCCATCGTCATCAAGGGCTATAGTACTGCTGATCTGGTAGGAGCAGCAGTGGGATGCGGGATCGGAGGTGCCCTACTTGTCGGCGTGGCCGCATTTCTCATGTATCGGAGGCGCAACAGGAGAAACCTTGTGACCGCTCGCGGGTCTGAAAAAGAGCGCTCTGATCCAGTCGGCAGCAATGAAGATGTGGTCGTGGTAGAGACGCGAGCATGGGGAAAGCACCTTCCACAGTCCGAATCTGACCAAGCTGTCCGCAGTATGGCCAGTCGCACTCTAGATCAAATTGAGATGCACGTCGAGAACTTCTACCAGGACGCAACTAATGTGTCTATCAGCCGAGCAGCAGAGTCGGAGATGCGAAATTTGGACTCTAGCCATTTGCCTGACTCTCTCTTGAATCTCATCAGGACATCTCGCAGACCTACCTGTTTGATCAAACATTGCGTTGCCAATCTGATCCTGTCGCGGATTGACTTCGAAAACGGTTCAGGGGACTCATTTTTACCCGGCAGTATGATAGCTTTGGAATCTTCGTCGACTGCACCGGAAAAGCCAGGTGAGAGAAATCATGTCTTTGGACGAGTCGGTGCGGCTGACCAGAAATTAACAGGATTTGCACAAGCTTTTGCCCATTGGCGAGTCATGTCCGCCTACCTCAGGCGAGAGCCGGAGCGCGACGAGGCTTATCGAGAAGAGCGTGATCGAAGAATCACTACTGCTGCGACGAAGTTGTGCATCGCTTTCGAGCCCTGGGCGCGCTCGGCGGATAATGCTCGTTTCCAAAGCATTGTTGGCATAATGCAACGAGCCAGTGACTTGGGGATCATGTTGTTTTCACAGCCTGCTTCATTCCAGTGGCAATGGGAGACTGGAAACAGGGGTGGAGCAACTCAGAATGGACCAGGACAGGTTGCCGTACTGCCAGGGCTCTACAAAATGACGGACGAGGAAGTACACCGACTTGCGTCTCCGATACACCTGATTGAGCCTCGATTAGGCTGGCATGATAAGTTTTAGGTTTTTTGGGGGCAAAAGTCCTCTAGAGCAATTTCTTGTGCTGCAGGGGTTTGCATGTGGCTTGCAAAGAAGAGGTCGAGCTGTGGTCAGATGAACGTTCGCCCTATCTTTCTGTTCGCTCCACGGCACATCCATTCCGCCCCGGCACGAAAATCCGGGACTGCCTGTTCCACTACTGCAGGAGTGTAGGTAAGGTGCGAATATCCTAGGGATGTGGGCTAGTGCGCCCCAGATAGTGATGGTGCAAGTGCGCTGGGAAGCATTCGAGTGCCGGGGTCCTCCATGGGGGTTCAGCCAACCAGCACAGTAGTCGCTATTTGGTGATGGACGCCGGTGGAGTTTCGACATTAACCTGGTTGTCTATGGGCGGCTCGTCGACTGCTGGCCCACTCACTACCCTTTCAAACATATCCTGGTAAGGCCAGACTGTGATGACCGCAGCCGTGAAACCCATGCTTCCGGCACGCCCGCTGTTCTTCCGATGTAACATGAAGAAGTACGCGACCAGGTTAGTGTCCACAGGGCGCTTAACCATTGGCGATGACAGCGCAACCCAAGCGCCTGCCTAGACCTGCCAGCTTCACCTGCGAGTGCTTGTGCGAGCATTCTCCTCTCATTTTTCCACTTCTCTAAGGTTCCCTCAATTTCCCGGACTGCAACCATTTTGTGTGTGGCTGAAGGTTCGTGCATTCGAAAGGAGTATCAAATCAAAGGCCCTTTGTTGTCAGGCCACGCCTGCATTGCGCAGATTCCCTGACCCAGTCACCCGGAAATGAAGCAGTGTCATCTACCGAGAGGCGGGAACTGATTCATCTGTCCGATCTCGCTAACTTGGATACGACGCACATGTCTCTGATAGGATCGTCTGTCGCAGAGTCCGGTGTTTGTATATCAGATGAACGCTCTAATGTGCATCTTGATGCGGTGCTTCAGGCGAATGATCGAGTTTCCCTCGACCCCAGACTGCAAACACTGGTCTCTGCCGACTCGGTTCTTCGTCAAGAGGATCGCATAGACAATGCGATCCAGGACACAAAAGACGGTAGCGCTGCTGCCATCAAGTTGCCAGAGCCGGCCCTTGAAAGTGTCGGCGTTCGCCCAAAATGGTATCCTGATTCATCCGTCTTGCAACGATTGAAATGGTCAACCAAAAACTTATCTGAAACGACAGCTCATTCGCAACAGTTGTCACTGATCAGCCGACCTCTGAACGATGCCATGGAGACCCTATCTCCATGCGAAGAACGTAAATCACCGACTCCAGAATTATCTTTCGAGCTCAGCGACTTCCTGAACCGAAGAAGACGTCCTGCTACAGATCATGACCGCCACTGTCTTGGTGGACCGCCAAGCTGTCGTGCCAATGACAATCAGCGGGGTGTCCATAGCGGATCCGGACAAGCAGCTGAACCGCTGCTCCAAGTTCGGCCCTCTGAGCGTCCTCGTACGATGGAGACAGGTACAGTTCAGTTATGCAAGAGAGACAGTTTGGTGACAATCAACAATGGATATGCGTCGCATACCGATTATCTACAAAGAGTTGGTCGAGCGCTTGACTGTGAAGCTGCCGCGAGAAAAGCACTGATCGACTTACACAAGGACTTGGACTGTCGACTAAGTTTGGAAGTCGAGGCTGCTGAGATCTGGCGACGCAACACCGAAACTGCCCTCGCGACAACACAGAATTGTATCTACCGGGAGCAAAGCGCAAACGGCGAGGAGGAACACCAGTCTATAATCAATAACGGCAAATACCGTGAAACATCCTCAATATCAACCGAAGTTTCCAGTGACAATCAACCCGCGGTATCTACCGATGAATGTCCTGTTCCGCAGCGACAGGAGATTGATGCCTTGAGATTGGAGTTGATGTCAATGAGAGTTACCCATACGGTATCGAGCCTGTCGAGCCCTCTCGCACATCCCAGCCCCGCCTTAAATCACCTGCCATATAAAGTCCCTCGCCGAAAACCCTTACCAACCATGGCATCTTTTTCTTCATCACAGAGCACAGTCGGGGCCCTTTCGTCTGCGAATGACTGGAATTCATCTGGGACAGAAGAGGGCCATTTTACGCACTATCCCAGAACACAGTCTTCGTTTCAAGACGCAGACAAGCATGTCGTTCCCCCAGCTGAGGAGACCGTGAGGCCGATGGCTCGCCATGATACCTCTGCACCAAACCCCTCCTTTGAACAATATTCAACATCGAAGGGCAGCGCTTCAACGGTATCTGTTGCCATCGTCTCTGCGCCAACATATTATATGACGAGGGGCCGCACATGGCTGGAGCGAAGAGCGCAGGATCAGGGATGATGATGACAGCTTTTATGTGCTACGGCGACAACGGAGCTGGCCGTTTGTACCACGCTATACGATTCTACACCCGGTACGAGTACGTGACGGAGCCAACAGCCCCGGCGGGTGCAGGGAGGAATGAAGTGAGGCTTGTCGCTCATGCTGAGCTCAGTTTAATCGCCATCGCCTGCTTCCTCTTTGGGACCGAACCCACCCACTTTTTTTATATACGAGGGTCGGCCAGATGTGGGATTTTGGATATGTATGTATGACATAGGGACATTTACTTGCAACGTGATACCCTACAACTGCGAAATTTCAAGGACCTCCTTGTACAACAGCTTCATTGTCCAACGATTCAGATACTTCCCGATCGAGCGTAGCTTCGCAAGGTCGAGCGAAAGCAGTTTAGGCGTTGTCTGGGCAGAAACTCGCTTTCGCAAACTCGAGTGGAAGCGGCCTAGTATCGATAGTCCCACACGGAAAGGATCGCCAGCCCTCTTTGCTGCCTCGCTGTTTTTCTGTCGAGATTTTGAACTATATGCGCAGCCCTCCAGGCTATGTCCAATTCTCGATCCTCGTTTGTCGAATTCTGCATGCTCCTAAGAAGAAAGCGCGTCAGGCTGTCCGTCTAGGTGCCATGTACCGGGTAATACTGCTAGAGCCACGTGCTAGGCAGGCAAAAAGCCCTTCGCGAATACGTGCGACTGCGCACCATCATGTGCCCAGTCACTCTGTTTTCAGACGGGTTTGCGAAACACACGGAGTGAAGATCTTCTGATTATTGATTATCCGTCTATAAAAACAAAGGCCATGCCCAGGCAGAAAATGTTTCGACGGAATGCCTACACATAACTTCACAGGTTCGAGACTTTCTCGAAGCAATCATTCGCCCTGGCGCACTATATACTCCCGCCCTTCTACCCTCGACCATCTCAGATTGTTAACCAGCATCAGCATTCAAAATGCCAGTGTCTAATCATATTCATAAGTCCTCAGGGCACAGCCCCGGGCTCAAGGCTGGCCAGCTCTGCCTCGAGTTCGGACGGCGGATCTACCATCCATTCGGCTTCAAAAGGGGGTACAACTTTGTCCTCTTCGCCATCCTCGTCGGGGCCCTCATGGGGTTTGTCCTCGCACGGCTCCAATACTTGAACATTGACGGTATCTTCTTGAAGGTATCCTGCCCTGGTGCCTGTTCCAAACGAGCCCTTCACGCGAACTCCCAATTGAGACTAACGTCGAATGACGTACAGAAAACCATCCCCGGAGATGCGATCCACTATCAATCAGGCTACAAGCGAGTCGGAATCATCTTGCACCTCGCCTGCATCCTTCCTGCAGGATTCTTGGTCTGCTTCCAGTTCGCGCCAGTGATCAGGCACAAATTCCTGATGTTCCACCGAGTGAACGGCTACGCCATCATTCTTTTGTTGCTGACGGGTAATGCGGGCGCCTTTATGGTCATCCCCATCGCAGGAGGGGGGTCACCGGCCACTCAAGCAGGCCTTGGCCTCCTGGGAACGATGACCACGGTCTCCGTGGTGCTGGCATACATCAATATCAAACGCCTGCAGATCGACCAACACCGCGCATGGATGATCCGCACTTGGGTGTACGCGGGCAGCGTCATCTCGGTGCGTCTGGTGCAGATGGCCGCGAACACTTTCATCGCACAACACCAACAGGGCCACTGGTACGACGTGCAGACCTGTGAGAATATCTGGAAGCAATACACCCTGTACGGCGCGCCTGCCGGAGCGGGAAACCCCGCGCCATACTTGTATCCCGCATGTACCGCGCCGAACTCGAGTGAACCTGTAATCATCAAAGCTAATGTCCACGGCTTCGGTCCTGAATTCGTCACAGCCTCGTTCCACTTGACGTTCGGCATGTCGGTGTGGCTTTGCCTTGCGATCCATGCCATCGGGGTGGAGACATACTTGAAGCTGACGCCAGCGGAGAGTGAGAGGTTGAGGCTCGTCAGTTACGAGAGGCAGCTTGAGGCCGGATTCAAACATCCCGGACGTGCGGGCTTGACTGTGGACAGGATTGGGGATGCTGTGGCTTGGGAGCCAATCGGTCGAACAACCCAAGCCTGCCAGAGCTCGAGCGAGTCGAAGGGAGTGGTAGCACGTGTCGACGAGTGAAAAGGCCTATTGTCCCTGACGTTTGGCATCGCTCACTCCAGCTGCATTTTCCTACGCCGCGGAAAGATCTTAAAAACGAGCGCAAGCCACCCCCCCCCCCCAGACTGCCTCTCATGGGTGAGATCTCAGTAACGCAGAGAGTGGGTTGTTACAAGACGGCCGTGTTGTGCGAAGAGTGTCAGGATTTGCCATTGCGAACAATGTTTATTCTGCTGGCTCTGACCCCAGCATCCCACTGAGAGGTATATAGAGCTTATTTACAGTCCAATGATGAGTGTAGTACAGAAGATATGAAATCTTCTCGTCTTCTGCGCGTCATGTTTGGTAAGGATCCAAGGCATAAGATTAAAGGGTAGCTGACGGGTTAGAAAAGCAGGGTACTAGAACATGGCAATGACAACGAGGACTTTATAAGACCTTGGCAAGGTTGTACTACTACAGGTCAAGGATTTGATTCATTTTCTTCACGTCTCGCGCGATTGACAGGCCAGGCGGATTGGACGATCGATATCTCGCGTGGTCCCTGTGCGGGTCTGGGTCTCCCACTGCTTGGGGCCACAGACGACAAGCCCTTTCCTTGATGAGTAAAGTCACATCGCTGTCTTGTTCCCGTGCGACAGCATGTGGCTGTTGCGGTTACTATTTCCTCTGAAGTATTTCCTTTCTCTTCTTCTCGCGGCAAATAATGCATTGTCGGGCTTTTCCCTTTGTGACAGCGAGATGGTGTCAAGGGACCTATCTACAATGACGGTGTCCACCCACCCACCCCAAAACATATCGAGATCCAGTCTTGGGTCGAGTGGCACCAGGAAAGAATCCTCTCTTCAATTGCTCATGCGGAATTTGTGGTGGAAGGAACTAGGAAACTTTCGAATCAACGGCATTTCTCGGAAGGTCATGCATGCCACGCAGAATACTTGGTTAGATACGGCAATGGTCATCGGCCACAATATTAAACAGCAATTACGCTGGCAAATCTGGTTGGCAAATGTCCTTGTAAGACGGCCTCATCTTCAGTCAGCTTCCGGCGACAGTCTTTGATTAAGGGGCTACACGTCGACTGCCCGCAAGAGCAGCTTCAGCCGATATGAGCTCTACGACGGCACACAAGGCCATGTCTGATAGCGCGGTTCTTGGACATCGTGCAGCCAGTCAAGCCAGGCATGACGCACGTTTCCTCGTCTATGTCATTCTGCTGCTCGTGACGCCGCTGCCCTACACTTTGTGGACCCGTCTCCGGATATTGGTTCAAGACCAGAGACCACCTGAGATACTGCCTCGTCTTGAGGCGGCTATGGCCGGGCCACAGGCAGGGGCAAGGAGTTATGCGAATCTGAGATTGCATACCTAGCAATGAGCTCTTTCTATCGCTTGACCATAATGCACATATTGACAAGTACAGCAAAGCAATGCCCGAAAACTTGAGCCTTGGATCCACTCAACAGTCTGGGACGCTGACTGGGATATGAAGCGGCACGCTCGTGGCCAATCCGCTCAGACTCGTCTCCTTGAACTCGTTCCTCATTCCCCTGGCAGTCAGGCGCATGGCCCGGATGGCATCATCTAGTCTCACCTTTTGTGTGCCGGTTTCGCTGCTAAGAGCAAGGTTGGCGCTCGAAATTGCCTTGATAGCACCCAGAGCATTTCGCTCTATACAGGGTGCCTGGACAAGACCACCAATGGGATCACACGTGAGACCCAGGTTGTGCTCGATTCCAATCTCAGCAGCCTGTTCGATGGCCTCTGGACTGGCACCCATGCACGCTGCAAAGGCGCCTGCGGCCATTGAACAGGCGACCCCTACTTCTGCCATGCACCCACCCTCAGCCGCGGAGATGGTCGCGCCCCGCTTGTATAGCATGCCTATGGCGGCGGCTGTGAGCAAGAAGGTCGGCACGTCGCGTTCTGGATCGTCGCTGATGAATTCAATTGTGTATTTGAGTACGGCAGGGATGATGCCAGCAGCGCCGTTCGTAGGAGCCGTGACGATTCGTCCCCCAGCCGCGTTAGTCTCGTTGACCGCAATGGCGTAAACGGTCAAATAATCCATGGCGGGGAAAGTGGTGCGCCGCGAGGGAGGAGGCGGGATGGGATGATCGAGGGCACCATGGACGCGGGGAGCCCGTCGCAGGCCGATGCGGTTTTGTGCCGGAGTCACCACTGTGGCTGTCGGGTGGGTTAAGGATACATTGGTCGTCTTTGAAGAAGGAGATCCCGCGCGTTCGACATCTTGAGTTCCTTGTGTGTGTGAAGGATAGAGACCTCTTGTGAGCCGCCTGTACAATGCAGGGGCTCGTCGATGCAGCTTTAGCGAGCCTGGTAGGGTTGAGTCGAGCGGAGCCTGGACACCTTCGAGGATGCTTTCGTCCATGACTCGCCAGATCCGGAGGAGCTTCCGATATATTTCTTCCTCGGAATACCCGTGGCTCTTTTCGTTCTCAAACACCAATTGTGCAATAGTCAGGTTGTGCTTGTGACATAGATGCAACAAGCTGGCAGCATCGCGGAAAGGGTAGCGAGGCTGATGAGGGGTTGTAGTGCGGTCGCATTCGGTGTCGATGTCTGTGGGACCGGTCGACACGGGCGACAGAGCGCTTTGAGCGGACTCCAAACCAATCTCAGGCACACCGCCGCCGTCAAGGAGTTTGACCTCGGGCCCGGTTTTCCGATCTCCAGCGGCATCTGCTCGGCGGATCTCCTTGTAAAACATGTTCTCGGTTAGATCAGCTGGATGATGTCCTGAATCTTGAGCCACCAGATTGTGGGATTCTTCTGAAGAGCTATTTGGCGGGTCCTGGTCCTCTGCATTGGAAGCCGCATTGTTGGAAAGGGCGCCGTTGACGACAAATCCACCACCAACACTAAAGAAATCGTTGGTCGCCAACATGTCGCCTTCGGCGTCGAATACCATAAGACGCATACCATTGCTGTGTAGGGGCAACTTCCTTCCCCATTCCCAGATGAAGTCTCGTTCGTAATCAAAGGCAACCTCTTTGCCCTTGTGGCCCGGAAGCCCATGGCCCAGAATGAGCTTCTTGCTTGACTTAATCTCAACAAACCGCTTCGGCACGTACGTAGTGTCAACCGTCTCAACGTCAGCACTCTCCAGGCCGAGAAGGAGGGCCGACGGGGTCATATGCCCTTCACCAGTCAGGGCCAAACTGCCGTAGATGGAAACGCGAATTTTGTTGACCCGGTGCAGTAGATTGGCTTCCACGAGATCCGCTACGAAGATGTTGCCAGCACGCATGGGTCCGACGGTATGAGAAGACGAGGGGCCAATGCCGATAGAGAAGAGATCAAACGTGGAGATGACCGCGTGTTCGTAGTCCGCTTCACTGTACGTGCCAGCATCTTCATCATCGGTATATGGCTTCTGTGGTGTTGTGCTGAATTGGCGGAAAGCTCGCGTCCCGAATATGACTGGAGGTTTGGTGGACGGACGCTGACTGCCCCCAGCTGTTACAGCGCGCCCATATCTTGCGCTGATCAGCTGTCCGCGCAAGCCCAAGGCCGAAGGCCCAACGGCTCGCAGCAGAATAAACCTCTGCCAGCCTGTGCGCTTCATTGCCGCAAAAGATTGCAGGAAAAGAAACGACGCTGGCGATGGCTGGGGAAAAGGCAAGAAGGGAAAGTAGCCTTATGGACGATAATAATAGTTTTCGAGGCTCTCGGGGTTTATCCTACACCGGGATTGGCATTGTGGACTATCAACAGGGATGTTGGGGTGAAGGTCCCTAGTTGGAGGGTGAAAGCATCTTTCTGCCCACCTGGCGTCTACACTGTACAGTATTTTTACGGCGAACTCTCCACACGCAAGCTGTACATGATAAATCTCCACCGCGGCAACCAAGAGGCTCCCCACCATCTGCTCCAACAGGAAGCCATCTCATTCGAGACCACCACCACCGGCCTTCCCACCAGACATCAAATCACATATCGGAAATCAGGCAGTTGCCGGTCCCTCTTGCCCGACAGATCTTCTCTCAGTGCCTGATGCACGCTCAGTCTCTGTCTCTGTCCGTAACGCTTGTTCCGTCGTGCGTTTTCCCAGAGGTAAAACATAAGCAGACAAGCAAGAAACCAGGGGCCAAAGGCTAACCCCGAAAGCGATGCCCTGAGGCCGGTCTAAATCAAAAGACGAAGATGTCAATGACCCGAGTCTTGTAGGGCGAAATGTATGTCCGGAGATGGGATGGGCTTACTGGATATCTAGGAGCCTGTCTAGACTTGAAGAATTGTGGGCCCGCGATGTTGCCAACGCAGTAGGCGACAAACAAGGTGGCGCTCGTAACGGACCGCTTGGTGGAACTGCCGACGTTGGAACTAATCAAACTCAAAGAAAGGGGAACGTTGGCCGCGAAGACGCTTGCCAGACACAACCCGGCCATTCGTATACCATGATCATGCCCACCATGGAGGTGAGAGTATTAATTATCATGAGCATCAGCCGGGCTGATGGAAGGAGAGTGGCCAAGCTCGAAGTCAAGAGGAGGAAAACGAGCTGCGACACCCCGATGGGCGTCTGAATGAGAAGGGATTTAAGGCCTGAAAAGCCGAATCCTTTGATGACAAGTGCTCCAAACTGAACGGCCGTCAGCATTCTCCGGTCAAGGGACCGCGACCCATACGCACAATGCCAGAGCTGAACGCCACTGGATAGGGTCAAGGCGCATGAAAGGGGCGGAAAGGATGGGGGAAGACAGGAGAACAAGGCAGGATGGGAACTTACGCTGGTCAATCCACCGTTGGCCAGATTGACCGAGACAGTACAGAGAATCAGGGGCCAGAGCTGCGGATTGGTCAGGGCGTCGGTGACCTGGTTCGGAACGAAGTTGTCGTTGTCCAGGAGGCCGGTCTTATTCTCGATCGTGCGCCTCAGAGCAATGTGCTGCTGCTTTTCGTCCATGAACACGGCTTTATCCGGCGAATCCGGGAGAAACAGGTATAGAACGAAGGCATAAGCCGAAGTAATACTACCGAGGATGAGGAAGAGTAGACGCCAGTCCGCAAGAAATGACGTGTGGATCTGACCGATGCCATATGCGACCAGGCCACCAAAAATATTTGCGAGCGAATTTCCTGCAAACCAAGCACCTTGTCTTGTTAAAAAATTCTCGTCAGTCCCTTCGACGGGGAGGATTCTTTACTAGCGACCAAATGGAACGAAATCGCAGCTCCAGAGACCGGGAGAAGGATGCGGAGTTGACGGCGCTTACCGCAGAGGTTGTTCTTTGCGGGTTTAAAACATGCTTGTGATCAAGGCAAATCCGGGGGCAATGGCAGCTTCGCCCACACCAGGGTGCAACGAGTTGGAGTTCCAGCGCAAAGATTCTTGACCACAAAGGGACATGCGTACCGGTTTTCGATCGAGAACCACGTTTGGCCGATCCAGTGCTCCCCGTCATTGCTGTCGTTGGGCGGCAATTCTGGAGAGCGGTCAATCTGGGATGGAAGACAATGATGAAGAGAAGCAAGCTGAGTGGCTGACTCGGATATATATTGCTTAGGCGGAGAAGGACGATTCTCATTTATCGCTTCATGAATGGTTGAGTTGCCGAGGCCGGGGGCGGGTGGGATGTAAGCACGTCCCCATTAGAGATAACCACGACATTTCCTGCCGAGTGCATGAGGCAGAACGGCCAGGAGCTCTCTGATGCTTCCCACCTGTCAGGTTGAGTTTATGCCCATATAAAGGGAGCCATCGATACCACTGAAAGATGGGCGAAGACCGGCTATTTCATCACGAAAGTGACCAACAGTCGAGCCAAACTTCTGCGTTTGGGGGAGGCATTTCCGAACATGATAGCTCCATACAGCGCTGAGCCCTTCTCGACACAAGACCTGCACAAGAAACATCTCAGAATACGTCGGCAAAAATAAAGAGCACCTGGATGACATCTGCAAGAAGGTCTGTCACTCCCTTTCGGGTCCACCAAAGTTGTCTGCTGCTGATGATCTCATGTCCCGATTCATAATGATCCCGAGTTGAACTATCGCGAGTCCCACACGCATGACAATATCTGCGATTTGTTGGAAAGGTTCGGGTACCATCTCAAGCGACACACTTACGTCCTCGAAACTTCCTTGGAGGTGGAAACAGGGCATGGAGGGTGCCTAGTCATGTTCAACGCGGAATACGATGCTCTTCCGGGCATCGGATATGCCTGCGGACATAACCTGTTCACCACGAGTTCCATCGCAGCATTCATTGCAACAGCTGAGGCACTCCGGAATAGTGGGCGGGAAGGGCGAGTTCGCCTGCTGGGAACACCAGCCGAAGATGGTGGTGGCGGGAAAGTGCGTCTCATCCGAGCAGGCGTATACGAAGGGGTCGATGCTTGCTTGATGGCCCACCCTGTTGGCTGTCGAACATGGATGGTGTCGCTGCCGGCAAGTCGCTTGCGCGTCGACAAGTTAAGGTCACGTTTAACGGTCAGAACGCTCATGCCGGACTTATTCCCTGAAATGGGAAGAATGCGCTCGACGCCGTCGTCGCATCGTACGTCAACATCTCGTTGCTACGGCAGCAACTCGCTCCCACCCTCCCTGTCCATGGAGTCATTCGACAAGGAGGAGCAGAGCCCAATATTATTCCCGACTCGGCCAGCCTCGAGTATTTTCTGCGGGGATCAACTTTCGCCGAGGTCGAGCAACCTTCGGAGAAAGTGAAAGCCTGCTTCGAGGCTGGGGCACTGGCAACTGGATGTCAGGTTGATTGTGCTTGGCCACTGTAAGTGTATCATTTCTTGCGAACGAGGCATGATATTGATCCGAGTGGCAGGGACAATGACCACAAAAGCATGAGCGTGCCCTTGACTGCGCGGAGCGCATGGCAGCAACGGCCTATGATCTGCTTACCCAGTCCGAGCTTATGGAAGAGGTCTGGAAGAAGTTCAGAGAACAAATGAAGCCAAAGTTGAAGCTGTAATCGACCCAAAATAAAATGAGGCCGAAAACTTGCCCAAAGACTTGCAATGCCTGTCTCGGCTCTGTAGAACTTCTAGATGATAGGTAGTCAGTCAGCGCATTCTGTCCAGACGAGGTGCAATAAACTTGAGAGTATTGCACGACAGCCACTTGTATCGACAGAGAAAAGTAGTTTCAGCGCTGAAAGACAAGGACTTTCTATCTTTCCTCCCGCTGCACACAAGACGAGATGTGTTGAGCGGTAGAGGGTTGAGAGACGTGGTTCTTTATAACGCACGCCAAAAGCAGCAAACCGCCAAGCCCCTGACCATACCTGAAGAGGGAGGTCCAAGGGAGGATCACCTAAACCCAGGCTGGTGAGGCAGATTTCTGCCATTGGAACTCGATATTTTAGGTATAGATAGAGTGTGAGGCCCCCTAGGCCCCCATCGTCCGGTTTTTGACAGGGCAGACTAGGAGATCCGGATTCATGCCAAAGTCGAATAAATCCCAAGGATAGGTGTTTGGCGACAACCCCTCCTACACACAGCTCCTGAGCCCATGCCCTGGTCTGAGTTCGCCAATACTCTCGGCTTGGTCACGGGACATGTCGAACAGAGCAAATCAGGCAGGCAGGAAGGTCTTGACTTGCTAGAACCACAAGGACAACAGCAACAACAACACTCAAGAGACTCCCCCGCAAAATGGTCTACGCGGGCCCGTCGCGCGGATGCAGCACCTGCAAGAAGCGTCGGATCAAATGCGACCTGAGCCGACCATTTTGCCAAAACTGCTCGAAGAGGCGACTGCCTTGTCCCGGCGTCCCAGATCCACCCGGCATCCAGTTCAGAGACGAGACCGAGACGGTGATACAGCTGTTCCAAGGAGGAGCAGGAGCCAACGACAAGGAAGGCTCAGGAACCGCCGCCGCCGAGGACTATGAATATCCTAATGCCGTGGTCCCCAATCTCGGCGAGGATGAGAACTTTGTCTCGCTGTGTTTCTTCTTCCACAACTACATGATGAGCGGCAGGGGCGTGCAGTCTTCGCGCGGGTTGTTCGAGCATTTGATCCCGTACTATCAGCCAACTGATCCGGACTCTCTTATATCAGTCGCCACTGCTTCTCTCACGGCTACCATGCTCTCGATGTGGCGCGGCCGGGCACCCGATTCGATCTTGTCGAGAAGGTACTACGGACGTGCTATCGATCTCTTGAAGGACACGCTCAAAACTCCCCACGGATGCCAGGCCGACACGACGTTGATCGCCATCATCGCTCTGCAGTTCCGGGAGGCGCTGATCGCCCATCGCAAGATGGCCAAAGTCGACGGGAGCCACCAAAGAGGCGCATATGCTGTCGTCAGCTACAGAAAGAGCAAGGGTTTCTGCGACATGGCTTCCAAGCGCCTACTGCAAGAGGTGCGCAGCACCATGGTGTCTGAGGCAATTCGGACGCGCCAACCAGTCCAAATCGACCCGGCCGTGTGGGAAGACGACGGACCCATGCCGTACAATCCGGCCAGCGATCTCGACCAGATCGCCATCGACCTTGCCAACCTGCAGGCCTTGTTTGAACAATACAAAACGACATTGCAGATCGCGTTTGCAAAGGGCCAGAGAGTGTTGACGGCAAAGGATCTCAGCACAATAGCGTCGTTCAGGAGGACAGCAGCTGCCATTGACCAGCGCCTCCAGATCTGGGCCAGCGCGCAGTACTTGTTCTACTCGCCCTTCCGATTGACGGCAGATGAGATCCCGGAATCGGTCAGAAAGGCCGGGCTATACGGCGACTTTTGCAACGTCTATCCGACCGTCCAGATCGCGGGCGTGTGGCACGCGTACAACAGCTACCGGCTGCTCCTTGTCAAGATGATGCTGTGCGCCGACCAGACCGTCCGCGACACGCCGAGGGAAGACGACGTGCTGCTGTCGGAGTCCGAGGCGTGGAGAAAGGCCGCCGAGGAGACGCTCCAGCACGGCGTCGACGAGATCTGCGCCGCCGTCCCGTTCCATCTCGGCAACCGCACCGACCCAGGCTCCATCCACGAGCTCTCCAACACGGCCGACATCGAGTATCCGTGGCCGTCGCCGAGCAGAGACCCTTACTCGAATCCATGCAGTCCAGGCAGGGAGTACGCGCGAGAACACAACGTCATCCCGCTGAGCGGCGACGAGCGCAAGCGTCAGAACCTCTGCATGGGCGGCTACAACATCCTTGGCCCCATGGCCTTTGTGCTGGGCCTGGCGGGGGAGCCTCTCGATCTGACCGGCGTGCAGCAGCGTGATCCGCCGCCCCCTATACTTGCATCGTTGCTTCGCCAGGACCAGATCCCCTGGCTTGCTGGACAAATGAGGAGGGCTCTGAAACTCCATCGCATAAGGAGAGAACAACACCCGAGAGGAGGAGGAGGAGGCGGAGGAAGCAAAGCCAACCACGGACCCCCAAACAACCGCACTCCTCCTCTCGCAGAGAGCTCGAAACCAGCAGCCGCGGAGAAGGACGATGCCGGCAGCGGCGATGTCGCCCTGGATGTGGTGCGGGTGAAAAAATCAATGAAATATTCCTTTGGCGTCTGATCCTTGTACCTTCTGTGGCCATTGTAGATCGCAGGGGAGTTGACTGGCTATCCTTCCAGCAGTCTAATTGACTTACCGGCGGCAGGGTGGATTATATATATAATAGTGAAAAGAGCTGAGAGCTGAGAGCTGAGCACCGGGGGCTGAGACACATTCTCAAATTTGCTGCAAAGGCGTATTTATTTCGGTTACCATCATCTACCCCTATGCAAGCAAGGCGGGCTGGAACCAAATTAAAGGCGGCGTTCGAACCCAACCCATGAACCTTTCTCACCCCCAGAACTTCTCTCGAGCTCTTTCTTATTTTGCAATAGTTGTCGTCGAGGCCTCGACCGGACCAATGCTTACCACTTTCTCCTCTTCCGCCTCCACACTTGCTTCAATGCCTGCAAGTCCAACGCGGCCCTCTGGCCGCGACCGCTGCCGCCGTGTGCAAAGCGTGCGCACGCCCCAGAGACAAAAGCTCGCGCAGATGTAGCTGACACCGCAGAATATCTGGGTGAAGAGGTACGGACGGGCGTGCTCTGGGCGGCGAAGATAGAGCGCGATGACTTCGGAGACTTTTCGGTCGGCGGAAGGAGGGCGCGTGTTAGTACACATGTGCATGTGTCCGTACGAGTGTTGTCTGGACTGGAAAGGGGAAGGGACAGAGGAAGGGGGAAAAAAAAAGGGAAAGACATACATGTAGTCGGCAGGACGGTTGATAGCCATGAAAGTGAGAGGAGCGAGGGGAGCCATTTTAGCCCTGCAACCTCGACGCAGAGGGGGCCGATCGTCTAGGCAGTCAGTCAGTTAGTCACACAGGCAATCGATCAATAGGTTCACCCAGAGCAAGTTCGGATTCAGCGGGTAGGAAGAGGCAAGCTGGGCGTACCATCCAAAACACTCCTAGGATTGCACCGCTCAGGATTCCAAAAAACACCGTGACTCCGAATGAAGAGGCGGGGATCCAAATAACCAAGCACGAAAGACCGCAGATGAAAGTGAGACTTGTCGCAACTCCGAACCGACCGAAGCGGTCACTCGCGACGCCGATGAAAGGCCGCCCCAGCGCAGTCCCCATGTTTAGAAATGCAGTCACCTGTGTCGCCTGTTGTCTGGACAGGCCAATGGAGAGCGAGAAGTCTGAGAGCGAGTACAGCAAAGCGATATACCCCAACATGCTGAGAAAAGCCCAAAGGAGGAGCAACAGGACGTCGGGGCGCGACATCAGGTCGAGGTCAAACGGGTGTTGTTTAGGGCGAATGATGCTGTTGCGATCGCGGATGAAGACCGCAGCAACGAGATTGGCCAATAGCGCAGTAATCCCAGTGATCCTCAGTGCCCATCCAATCCCGAGACCTTCGATCATGGTCCCGATGGCGAACGAAAAGATCAAACCACCAATCCCCGAACCTGCCGCACTGATGCCGTTGGCAAGACTCCTTCTCCTCGCAAACCACTGGGAGAGAACTGCAATGCTGGGCACGTAGACGAAGCCAACACCTAGCCCGACCAGGGCACCCTGGGAGAGGTAGAGATGCCAGATCCGGGTTGCGAAAGATGCCGCAATAAAGCCTCCTCCAAACATGACTGCGCCCGCCAGCATGGGCAGTCTGATGCCGAAGGAGCGAGCTAAGCTCGTGATCAAGGGGGCTGCCAGCATAGCAATGCCGAAGTTGAAGCTGCCGATGAAGGCGTAGTCCAGGGGTCGAGACCCGGGAAAAGCATCCACGGTCAGATAATACGACAAGAAGACGCCATAAGACTGTTTCTTGTTAACGAGCTTTGCCGAATGACTGGAGGATTCCCCAGGAAGACAACCGTATGGCAATGTACGAGACGGGAAGTTGTGACTTACCGCTACAGCGCCCCAGGTAAAACAGTTGACCGCAAAACAACAGGCCAGACACACCCAGCCGTAGCCACCGTCTGGAGGTGGTGTCAGATCATTCTGACTCTGAGTTTCGGGTACTTCTCTTGACTGAGAGGCCTCAGTCCCTGATTGTTTGGACATCTAGGCCACGGCAGAGACTTGGTCCTTGGTCAGCGGCATTAGCGGATAGCATGATACTGAGATTGATCGACTCCCATGCAGCAGTTGTCAGTCAAGAGAGGACGACAAAAACATTCGAGTACTTTCGGGCTTCCCACATGGGCGAGACCAGCAGGACAGGTCTACACGTCTTCTGACGAGCCTCACACTGACGGGATTCGGTTGACTGCTTGGTAGAAACCGAGACTTCCATGAGTGAGTGACCATGGTAATGATTTCTTTTTCAAAAGGCGGAAAAGTGCGACTTCCCCCAGTCCAGCCGATCATTAGGCCGGGATCCCCAAGATGCCGCTTTTCCGTGGGAGTTTCTAAGAAGCCCATGCCCTATCACAGCTGCATGATGACACACCGAGACAGCTCCCGGAACCCGCAGCGAAAACTAAGCATCTTTCAGGTAGTGTCAGGGCTCCTTCTGCCCATACACAAAATATAGCTTTGAATAGCCATGGAATTTCCGATCCAGAAGCTCCTTTCTCACGCCGGCCAGCAACACCTGGATCTGAGGCGGACTCCACCCTAAGACTCTCGTGAACAAGGCAAATGAATACGCGTCGAGAGCTTCCAGCATCAAGATCTGTTGATAGCTTCCCAGCTCCTTCAATTTTGGATTCGTTGGCCACGGCGAGAAGGGCACCTGCATAGAGTGGGTGAGGTGCAGTTAGTCCATGGTCCCTCGTCTCGCGCTCCTTCGAAGATGCGAAGGGGAGCACGAACCTTTTTGATCACTTCCTTGACATTTACAAATCCTGCCTCCGTCAGCCAGTCCTTATAGTGTTGTGCAACGCCCATGGGCTTTCCGAATATACGACTCGCCTCCACCAGATGTTCACGCCATTGGAGCAGATTTGGTGCTCGTTCGATTGTCTCGTCGTCACAGAAGACCCCCACGGTGGCATCGGCCGCTTCCAGCCAGCCACCGGGGGTCAAGTTTTCCCATGCCTGCCGAAATAGTCTTCTGTGGTCCTTGACCGATCCTTCTATGTTTCGAGCGTGAATGAAGTCGAACGGAGTTGTGTATCTCCAGTCGAGTTCGAAGTCGTCAACCTCGAACCGGCAATTTGGGGGTACCCTCAACCGCGATCTTTTAGCGGGTGTTACGTGACAATGCATGTCCCATCTGTGGTCTTACCATGTGGGTTGGATCGGGCTCAGGTCAATTCCTAGGTGCGAGTTAGCTCTCCTTGTCCTGTCGACATTGCTCGTCAAATTTCAACCCACCAGTGACAATTGCTTGAGGCATTTTGCTGGGTTGCGAGGTTAAATCTTGAGAGTCCATGTCTTAGTTATGGTAGCCATACTCTGCCATGTCAATTGCCCATACACCGGTCCCCGTCCCGAGATCCAAGATACTCGACACCCCCTCCGGGATAGGAGCACAGTAGAGCTCTCCACCGAGTACCAGGCTGAAAATGTGATGGTGCTGATGGTGAATCAGCAGGGATATTCGAGTGTTAGAGTAGTTCGGCATACGATATCAAGACGCTCTTGTTCTCTTTCGTCGTTGGGCTTTGGTGAGAAGGACAAGTCAGGACGATTCGTCCCAGGAGACGAGGCATGCACGGTCTCACGATTACATATTCTCCTTCCCGGTATGCGTGGTATCGGCGTCCATTCTGGCAGCAGCAAATATCAGTTCTGTTTGGCTTCCGCCTCTGGTTGCCACAAACGCCCTGACCTCGTATCTAAGCGTTGAATCAGCACCTTCTCGACCCCTAAAACAGAGAAACCATGAGTATCTATCTTACTTGTAATTCAGGACTGTCGAAGTTATCGAAGCCGTGGAGCTTTGGCCACCTCTTGCCGGGGCAGGCAAATTCCTATTAGCGAATAATTTTGGATGCAACAGTGATAGCGACGACAGGCGGGATTGGTAGCTTACAAGCTTGCAAGATCGTCGTCGTCGCCGCCCAGGGCGCTATCGTGCTAGTTGATCTTCAGCGTGAATGGGGTGAGATTAAATCGGGGCTCTGACTGACTTCAGCAACAAGAGCTGCTTGTATTTGATCCGATTGTGGGTTCTCATCGTGCAAGGGTTGGGAGGCTTCTGGGGCCGACATGTTCCGTTTAGCGGCGACAAGGCAGCTCGCGGGGAATTTAGGTTGCTAGGGAGCGACGGCGATGACGATGCTTGTCGTCGCCTTAAATTGGACGAGAGTGAACATGATGATGGTAGTAGAGTGGGACTGATGTAAAGGCAGTCGGTTGAGCTTCATTCAGTGTCTTGGGCAGTGCCGGTGGGAAAGGAACGATTGTGGCTTCGCAGTCGCGGTTTGCCAAGGGGCGCAGGCGCTTATTCCACCATCCCGATTTGCGAATTTTCATCTGCCGATAAGACGCTGGGAGTGATGCTGGCGATGCTGAAGTCATGATGATCGATAGAAGGGCATTCTGCACTTCTGCAGAGACAGACCATGTGTGGGTGTGTGGGCGTGTGAGGGCGAGTGGAACGGCACGATGCCGACGCCTGGCTCAACTCAAACTCCAGCAGCCACTCATACCCCGTAAGTAGCAGGATATAAGTACTTAAGGTCGCTGGTAGTGACGGGAGCTGCTGCCTAAGTAAGCATCACTAGTTAAGTCGCTAGGTACCTAGTGACGGGGAAGCCGCAGCCGACGCAGCCCCCGGCTGTTAAACCAGCAATGTCCAACCAGGCTGAGGCCTAAAATCCTTCAATTCAGCCGCCTGCCGCCCCATGTTGCATTGGTCACACAGACCTCACTCCCACCCAGCACGATATCTCGCACACCAGGCGAGCAGGACGCATGGGAAGGAGGGGCTTGATCAAGCATGACGAAGCACCGACCTGGCATATCAGAAAGAGCCACGTGCGAGTCTTGAATTAGCCTGGATCCATTATCAATTTCGCACAAGCTTGAACCTCACTCGAAATATCTTTCCACCCTGTTTCACCCTCCCCAAGCCTGCTTACCTTTACCGCACACCCAGGCGTGACGATGGAGCTGGCCCAATCCTTCACACACCCGCTGTTGGTGTTGGCCTTTGTCTGGGTAGCGTATATCCTGGGCCTTGTGGTTTACCGACTCTATCTATCACCGCTGGCTCGGTTCCCCGGACCAAAACTGGCTGCTGCTACCGCGTGGTATGAGTTTTACTACGACGCAATCTGCCATGGAAGGTACACATTTGAAATTGGTAAGATGCACAAGCAGTATGGTATGGCTTCCCTCTCGCTGCCGGGTAGCTAAGCACCATGCACCGCTGATGATGCTTGGCTTTCGCTTCCAGGGCCTATTGTCCGGATCAGTCCCTGGGAACTCCATATCGACGATCCCGACTATTACGAGGTTCTCTACTCGCGAAGCAGCCCTCGCAACAAATACAAGTATTTTGCGAACATGTTTGGTACCCCCAAGGCATCAATCGCCATCCTGGACCACAACCATCATCGCCTCTTGCGATCCAATATGAATCCCTACTTCTCCATGCAACGGATTCGAGCGCTGGAACCTGAGATCCAAGCCGTGGTTGACAAGCTTTGCTATCGACTAAATGAGTTTAAGAATACAGGCATCCCCATCACGGTCCAACACGCCTACACCTGCTTCACCACCGACGTTATTTCGGACTACACGATGGGTGTTGGTTTCCACTATCTTGATGAGCCAAACTTTGTCCCCCAGTGGAGCGAGACATTGAGCGGGATTGCAAAAAGCAGTGCCTTTTTCAAGCCTTTCCCCTGGCTTGTGTCTTTGCTGAAAACCTTGCCACAAGGCCTGGTGACAAAGCTCAACCCGGGGATGGGCTTGATGTTTGCATTCCAGAACCGTTGTGGGGTCCTCATCGACTCGGTCATCGAGTCTCAGAAGAGTGGACAAGAAAAACAGAAGTTTGATCATCCCACCTTCTTCCACGACGTGTTAGCCAGCGATCTACCTCCAGAAGAAAAGAGTGCCGAACGATTGGCACAAGAGATCCAAACCGTGGTAGGTGCTGGAGCGGAAACCGTTGCAAAAATGTTGAGCTGGACAACCTACTATTTGCTTGAGAATCCAGAAAAGCTGAACAAGATGAGAGAGGAGTTGGATCGGCTCGACCCAGGCCGAACCGCATCGTTGACAGACTTGGAAAAGATGCCTTATCTTGTGAGCCTCCTTTTTGATTCCGCCAATTGGTCAGCTATTCTAATTTGCCCGATACTATGTAATCTGCAGACGTCAGTGATGCTCGAGGGACTGAGGTACGTACAAAGCCCCTGTCGGGAAAGCATCGTCGGTTTCTAACCCGTCGGTGCCGCTGGTCCTCAGACTTTCGTATGGCGTGAGCACTCGACTGCAGAGGATTGCCCCCGACCGCGATCTCCAGTACAAAGAATGGACTATTCCAGCCGGGGTAGGATTCCTGCAATTATCAAACCCAGTCAATATTGGCTCAGACTCATGTGTTACTAGACTGCCGTTGGTATGACGAGCGTGTTCATGCACCACAATGAAAACATCTTCCCAGATTCGTACAACTTTATTCCAGAGCGATGGATGAACCTCGACGAGCGTAAGAGACTCGAAAACTATCTCGTCGCTTTCAGCAAAGGATCCCGACAGTGTATTGGGCTAAAGTGCGTGCTTTCCTCGGGTGCTCCCAAGGCATCCATTTGTCGGAACCAACTGACTGTGCTCCCTTCCAGTCTTGCACGAGCCGAAATGCTCCTTGGCCTCGCCAAAATCTTCCGCGAAGTGCACTTCCAACTATATGAGACGACAAGAGAAGATGTCACGATGGTACATGAACTTTTCCTGCCCTTCCCGAAAGTGGGAAGCAAAGGCGTTCGAGTTTTGGTGACGGATTAAGGGACAGAGCCAACTGGTTTAGATGCTGTTGCATCCTATTTTACTGCTATATTAGCAAAGTCTTTAATTGACGACGAAGTGGAGATCTACTGAACCTTTTCCAGGAGAACTGGCTTTCCGCAGGTCTACTGGCATTGCCATCAAGATGACTTTGAGATTTTTAGTGTTTGAGCTGCTCGGGCCGACCTTCGAGCTATTCCAGTATTGTGGTAACCAATTCTCATAGAAGACGAGGCTGATGGCGGTGGTAGCGTTGTAGCCGAAAGTCCGGCATCTGCTCAGGCAGGAACCCTTTCAACCACACGGCCTGGGACTTTGGGATGGGCAGGATGGGTCCAGATAGAAGGCAGCTCGGAATGGGTATTCTCAATGTGGGGTTTTCCCGAGGCCTAGGCCCTTTGCCGGAACCAAGACTGAGCCACGCGAGCTTCGCGGAGCCCCATGAACCCCTCCACGCCCAAAGAGCCTGTCATGCCACCAAATATGATGGGGGGCGCCACGGAAACATGGCTCCTCTTTCCGATACCAGAATCGTCGAATGTCTGCGGCAGTTGTCTCATAGCAATTATCTGCCGGCAAGATGGATTTATATACAGTCCGGTTCTCGAGACCCTCCACACAAATTCGCCTCATTCCCCGCCGCAACTTCGCTGTCCATCAACATGGGAGAGGCACCGAAGCACTGGCTCGATGAGCGATGCATCGACGAGTATCGACCGCTGCGTGTCATTGTCATAGGAGCGGGCATCTCGGGTATTCTGGCATCCATCCGCCTGCCACAGAAGATCCCCAATCTTTCATTGCAGGTCTACGAGAAGAACGCCGATGTCGGGGGGACATGGTTTGAGAACCGCTACCCGGGCTGTGCTTGCGACATCCCCGCCCACACGTACCAGGCCACATTTGAACCGAATCATGAATGGTCTCAGTTCTATGCCACTTCTCAGGAGATCCATCGCTATTGGAAAAAAGTTGTGGCAAAATACGACTGTGCGAAGTACATCAAGCTGAGACACGAGGTCAATGGAGCGACTTGGGATGACCGGACTGGGAAATGGCGAGTATCGGTATCAGCTGGCTGGTTCAGAGACGTGGAAAAGGGTGCTGATATACGTTGTAGATCCGAAACCTCGCCGATTACACCGTCCTCGAAGATTCTTGCGATGTTCTGATCTCCGGGACTGGCGCGCTCAATTACTGGAAGTGGCCTGATATCCCTGGGCTGCATGATTTTGGCGGCAAGTTGCTCCACAGCGCGAATTGGGACGAGGAATTTGATTGGACAGTAAGTTCGAACATAATGCCTGGCCAATTTGTCGGAATCAAATTCCAATACCACATGTGGTTAGGGGAAGAGACTCGCAGTCATTGGCAATGGCTCCAGTGGCATTCAGATCGTTCCGGCTGTGCTCGAGAAATCTGTGCATATCGACCACTACATTCGCGGGAGGACGTGGCTGGCCCCAACATTCGCCAGAGAAAAGGTCGATCAGATGGGCAAAGGCCTGGACAACTGTACGTGAAGCGCACAGCGTGCTTGGATTTTTGAGAATAAGCCTAACCATACGGGAAACAGTCTCCTTCACCCAGGAGGACATTGCTCGGTTCAAGAACGATCCCGCCTTTTATGAACGGTTCCGTAAAGGTATGACCGCTCCCAACCTGCTGAATATTAAATTGACCACGGCAATAGACATTGAACTTGAACTTCAGTCCGTCCATTCAGTGACGATCAAAGGATCCCCCGAACAACTAGGAGCCGTTGAGTTGTTCACAGAAAACATGAAGAGACGACTTGCCGGAAAGCCAGAGCTTCTTGAAACCCTCTTGCCCTCGTTTCCTCCTGTGTGTCGCAGGTTGACACCGGGTCCAGGTTATTTGGAGGCACTCGCGAGTCCCAAAGTTGATGTTATCACTACGGGAATTAAGAAGGTGGTTGAGGATGGGATTGTCACTGCCGACGGCCAACATCACCCTGTGGATGCCATCGTATGCGCTACTGGGTTTGACACTACGTTCAGCCCTCGGTTCCCTATTCTCGGGAAAAACGGGCTCAGCCTGTCTGAGAAATGGAGGGGAGTACCGTCGACGTATCTCTCGCTCGCGACGGATGAATTTCCCAACTACTTCATTTCACTAGGTCCGAACTCGGCGCTGGGGACGGGTAATCTCTTGTTGCTGATCGAGAAAGTCATCGACTATATTGTTTTGTGTCTCCAAAAGATGCAGCGGGACAACATCAAGAGCATGAGCCCTCGGTCGAGTGCTGTCGAAGGTTTTGTCCAGTATTGCGACTTGTACTTCCAGACGACGGTGTTCAGTCTCGACTGCCGCAGCTGGTACAAGGGTGGGACCTCAGACGGGAGAGTGAGCGCACTCTGGCCAGGTGTGTGGCTTTCATAACCATCTCTAATCTCGCCATTGTCACGTTTCCTGTCTAACTATCAATGGTAGGCTCGTCTCTGCATGCTATGCAAGCCCTGGCGCATCCTCGGTGGGAAGATTTTCTGTACGAATACGAGAATGAGAATGCATGTGGATGGATTGGCAACGGCTGGACGGTCAACGAGAAGACCAAACAGGTTAACGTGGACTACCTCAATTATGATCAGATCGACTTTCCTCCGTTGCCACCTGTAGGAGCGGCCGGGGAGAATATAGCGCTGGGGAAGAGGTGAAGGACAATATACTATAGTCATCCGCAAGATTAGTGCCAGAGAACTTCAACAATCGGACATAAGGGGGCTACCAGTCAGTCGGTCAGTCTGCTAGTGCTCTAACTTGTCTCGTCGGCAAGACTGTACTAGGTAGATGCAGCCTTTTCGAGGAGCAGATCCGAACAACCCCCCACAGAAATCAGCCAGGCCCCACAATTCTCCTGGCCAGCGGAAGTCCCCCCACAAGAGACAAAGACTAACCCCTTCTGTCCCCTCCAGAGGGGGTGCTGGATGCGGGGCACGGGGTCAACCGCTAGTTAATTAGAGGGATGATCAGGAACGAAGCTTCCCCATGCCAGTTGGGCCCAGACGCACCGGCACCGAAACCTACTCAGCAAAATTTCACACTCGTTAGGCAAACATGGGCTCCTCCCGCTGTTCCTCCTTCTCCTTTTCTCAGCACCGTCGTCACGCAACATGTCGCCCAGTGCCCGAGTCTACTGTCCGATATGTCGGAAGACGTACAGTCGACTGGATCATTTACAACGACACCTCGCAAACCACGCTCCCTGGCGTCCATTCGTGTGCGGCACTTGCAGTAAAGCGTTTAAGCGCAAGGACGTTCTGCGACGACATTCAATCATGTGTCATGCGCCCCCTAGGGACGGCAACGATCTGAGAAGTGCTCCCGCAAAGGTGAGGACTAATCGGACCGCTTGCGACCGCTGTGCGAGGTTGAAGCGAGCGTGTGATTCGATGAGACCCTGCAGGAACTGCGCTGAGAAGAAAGAAACCTGTTCCTACACCTGGCTCCAGGATCATACGCCCGAAATTGACCTTGAACATGCACTAGAAGCAGGACATGAAAGAGACTGCAGCACGTTATCAACTTCGCTTCCTTTCCCCTATACGTCGGCACTCCAAGCCACCTGGCCTGAGGATCGAACAGAACCACAATCTCCTCCAGACGACTTCAGAACGCACACTTACCTGCCTCCGGGATCCCTCGATCCTGCATCCGACGACATGGAGTCGTCGTGGGCGGTCACGGATGGATTATCCCCAGATAATGACTTCTCCACTCTTGCTCTAGGAACCGATTTTGTTGAACGAGAACGCGACCCTCGGGAGTCCTTCAGCTTCCTTATCCGGTTTACGAGAAATGACGAAGGCATGGGCGGGGCGTTTGCAATCGACACGGAAGCATTGAGGGAGATTCTGCCAGAGCCGTCCTTGTCAGAGAAAGATTCGGATGGCTTGAGCGAAGTGGCTGAGTATGGCGGTTCATTGCCATTCAACAACCGGTATCTGCCGGAGGGGAGGCAAATCTTCCCGCATGGAGGTTGGGATCACCTAGCAGACACTGTCTCCGCCACCAACCCTGGCAGGCCAGTCCAACTTCCCCTCGAATCCTTTGCGACTTCACAATGGGTGGAGCTTTCCACGGGTCAAAATGCCTCCTTCGAGGGATTGCGATCCAATTCCACCAGAGGTTCTCATTCTCTGACGCGATCTAGCACAGACTGCGAATCGAAATACCGTCACTTGTCGATCAAGTCACACCAGATCTTCACAGCGATCAAAAAGATGTCACTCAGCGGCCAGGGCGTGGAATCCATCAACAGGACAGGCGCGGACGATTGGTCACCGTTCTTGGAGCGGGAATGCGTGGACTTTTTCCGTCCGGCAAATCTCCACCGCTTCCACGAGTATTTCTGGACGCTCTGGTATCCAAACTGCCCAACAATACACAAACCCAGTTTCGACGCTACGACCGCACCTCATCAATTACTCGCTGCAATGGCCTTGATTGGTGCATCCCTGTCTCCATATGCTAGTGATCATTCCCGGGCCAAGCTGTGGTTCGACGTTGTGGAAAAACTCGTCTTCTACGACGAGAGAACCTACAACGTCGATGAGGGGAGCTGCATTCCCTGCTTCCCGGACCAGCTAGAAGCGAGGCTTCGAGCCCTCCAAGCCGCGTACGCAGTTTGCCTCTATCAGAACTGGGAGGGCGGGGATGCCGCTAAAGGGAGGATCCGGAGGCAGAGATACAGCATGGTAATCTCGGTTGCCCGCGATTTGATGCGTTACGCCAACCATGTGCGACTGGACTGCTTGGATCCGCACACCTTCTCCTGGAAGGACTTCGTCGTGAAAGAGGAGGTGATTCGATCGATCATGTATGTCTTCCTACTCGACACGGCTTTTACCATCTTCAACAACTTCCCTCCAAGGATGGTCCTCCGAGAAGCCACAAATGATTTGGCATGTCCCGAACCTTGTTTCCAAGCCTCTACAGCGCTCGACTGCTTCAATAAAATCCAGAAATGGATTTCGCATCCACTATATAAGAAAGGTATTCCCTTCCATGCGGCTGTCCGAAGTTTGCGACAGAAGACCCTTGACGCAGGCACTAAAGCGTACCTTTCCCAATGCGGTGTTCTCAATCTTTGGACCATTGTGTCATCCTTTCATAGTTTCCTTTTCAACATTGACCCAGTCTTTGGTTCTGACGCACAGTTCGAGACGTTGCGGAATGCTATAATCAACTGGAGGGTCGTGTGGAATCTACGCTTCGAGCCTGACTTCGTGGACTGCTACGGCACTCACGACCTCTGGGCCCCTCAATGTATGACGGAACCTGACACTCCATGGAAAAGGATCGGGTTTTACAGGAACGCCTCGGAGTATTGGTTGCTGGCGCGTGTCATGCTGGAAAAGGTGGAATCCTTTCGAAAAACGGACGAGGCTGAGCACAGCCCTTTGGAATGTAAAGACTCTCGTGGGACCGGAGTCCCGCTGATCCTGTCCAAATTTGATGAGACCAGCATGGATCAGGTGAACGACTTGATTACCAGCTTTCAACCGCTGAGAATGAGTGAATAATGTACGCTACGATATGTTCTTACACATGCGATATTGTACAGTCTGAGCCACAAGATTTGAGCGTGTAATCTCCATCCAGCTCTCGGAGCCTCTGCAACGTTATTGCATTTGCACTCGGTTACGGGATCCTGTTTCTGCATATTTCTGCATTATTGTGTCCAATCACGCAAGGCTGAAAGAATAGTCCCAGGGTCCTAAAGACCTGTCACATTCCAAGCGTTCCGTTGGCAGCGCCAACAACCCTCCAGCCTCGGTTAAGAAGCGTGGAAACGGGTTTGAGTCGACCAAATACAAGTCTTCTCTCCCCCACAACTAAACTCCCGCCTTCATTTACTCCGCTGGGGTAACATCCGAGGGGGTAGGGGCATATGTCAGGCCATACTGCCAGTTCCAGATACCGGGTAAGGGACAATGTGCGACGACTAGCTTGAGGAGGTGGTATACTCTCTCACTTTCACTTAAAAGCAGGGCAATCTTCCATTTTCCGCCAGCCTCGATGAGCCTCACCACTGGCAGTCTTCACATTGCCAGACTTTCAGGATACCCAAAGCAGCCAAGATCTTAGACAGCATATCACTGACGAAGCACTCTGTAGGCGGCGACGCGATGCCAGACACACGCCGAAGACCGAATACGCAGGCATCAAAGAACGTTGACGACCCTCTGGTGTTGCCTCCGGGTATCAGCTCACATACGTTCAAGGATTTCATTGTGAGGGTCACGAACATCGTTGGCGAACATGACGTGAATGTGATCAAGGACGTCCAGCAATTAGGCAAGGACAGCTATCTCGACCCCAGCAAGGTGCACGATATGTTCTACATCGCCGACGAAGACTACTTTGTCAGCTCAGCCGTTGTCGCGCCACGAAACGTCCAGGACGTCCAGGCCATCGTACGGCTTGCCAACGAGTTCGAGGTCCCCCTGTGGCCGTTCTCGGTTGGGAGGAATGTCGGCTATGGTGGCGCCGCGCCCCGGGTGCCTGGGAGCGTCGGGTTGGACATGGGCAAGAACATGAACAAAGTTCTCGAGGTCAATGTGGATGGCGCCTATGCCCTAGTCGAACCGGGCGTTACCTTCGCCGATTTACACAACCATTTGGTCCAGAACAACCTCCGAGACAAGCTCTGGGTTGACGTTCCTGACCTGGGAGGTGGATCAGTGTTGGGGAACACGATTGAAAGGGGCGTTGGATATACGGTACATTGACTTTGCCTCCTTCCCCGAATCGTCTAGATCGTGAATGTCTAACATGTCCTGGTCCGAGATCTAGCCCTACGGTGATCACTGGATGATGCACTGTGGTCTTGAAGTTGTCCTCCCAGATGGCAATCTCCTTCGGACCGGCATGGGTGCTCTACCTGAGCCCGGAGCGGATAATAACCTACCCGTGGACCAACAACCGGCGAACAAGTGTTGGCAGCTTTTCAACTATGGGTTTGGACCGTACAACGACGGCATCTTTACGCAATCGTCGCTAGGTAAATCCTTAGACTTGCCCCCTACCCTCCTATCAATAACGTCCAACATCACTAAGAGCTTGCGTAACATAGGGATTGTGGTTAAAATGGGCATGTGGCTGATGCCTAACCCGGGTGGGTATCAATCGTACCTTATCACCATCCCACGCGACGAGGATCTTCATCAGGCGGTTGAAATTATCCGACCACTGCGGACGGCTATGGTATTGCAAAATGTACCTACTATTCGGCATATCCTACTTGACGCGGCAGTTGTGGTACGTAAACCGCCCAAAATCCACTCTCTGTTGTCACTAGATAAACCGTGACTAACGGATTTGGTTCAGGGAGATCGAAAGGCGTACAGTAACTCCGACAAGCCACTGACGGACGCCGAAATGGACGCTATCGCCAAGAAGCTCAACCTGGGTCGGTGGAATTTCTACGGTGCTCTATATGGTCCTGCTCCAATCCGAGATGCGCTGTGGCAGATAGTGAAGGCCTCGTTCTCTGCCATTCCCGGAGCCAAATTCTACTTCCCCGAAGACGTGCCCGAAAGCAAGGTTCTGCAGATCCGGCATGACACAATGCAGGGCATTCCGAGCATGGACGAGCTTAAGTGGGTGGACTGGCTGCCAAACGGAGCCCACTTATTCTTTAGCCCGATCGCCAAAGTTACAGGTGACGATGCCATGGCTCAGTACAAGGTCAGCCGAGCGCGCTGCGAGGAGTATGGCTTCGACTTCATCGGCGACTTTGTCATCGGAATGCGCGAGATCCACCACATCGTCTGTATCGTCTTCGACCGGAAGGACCCCAAACAGCGCCGCAATGCCCACGAACTGATCCGCACCCTAATAGACGACGCCGCGAAGCACGGCTGGGGTGAGTACCGGACCCATCTGGCGCTGATGGACCAGATCGCCGGGACGTACAGCTTCAACGACAATGCACAAATGAAATTGAATGAAACCATCAAGAATGCTCTGGATCCCAAGGGCATTTTGGCTCCGGGCAAGAACGGAATTTGGCCCAAGACTTACGATGCGGATGCTTGGAGGGTGCCTTTGTAACTAGGTATAGTAAGAGAGGGGGCAAGGAGAAAGGCGTCCAACAACAGGATCACGCATCACGTACCAGAATGATTGATTTTACGGTGAGGCTGTCCAGCTGAATGGTGGGGCTTTCCCCCCCCTGCAGCTCTCTACTAGTAGTTAGCTCTTTAGCTAGCTCCGCCTTTCCTCTACTCTGTAGTGAAGCCGGAATCAGGTACTACATGGTATACATACGCAAGAAACAAGGTCTTTTGTGCAACGCTAGGCGAGACACCGTGCAAGAAAAGCTTCGGCGTCTATCGTATTGTTGGGTTTTGATGCGATACACGTGCGTCGTGAGTCTAGTTTTCGGTTTTCAATGTCTTTTTAAGTCGAGCGATGGGAGGTTCTCTTTCCTTACACCGGTAATGCATTGCGGCCAAGATGTCAAGGCGCGTTCTTGGAAAGTCGCCGTCTTTGCCGTCTCAGTGAAAATCAGTTGCATCCTATCTATCTAGCGACCCAGCGCGCTGGTGGAGACATCTGTCGCCCGAGAGTCCCAACAGGAACCCAATGATAGCATCTCCGGAGGACCGAATGGAGCGAGTGCGGGCAGATGGTGGAGGCGGGAAGGAGCGGGAGCGGGGGCGGGGGCGGATTGGGGTGTGGGGGAGACGACGGAAGGGGACTTTTGCATTCGCTGACCTTCCAGGTTGCCGCAACCTGGTCTGAGATGGCTGGGTTGGCAGAGAAACCGCAAAACAAAGAAAAGCTGCACAGCGTGCAGTCATCTTCCTTCCTAGGATTCTGTTTAGTTGGTCCGCGGACACAACATGGGGGAATTTCCGGTAAGGTCGCTCATACGATCTTTCCCTCCAGCGAAGACATCAGGCCTTTAGGAACCAGTTTCCTGCACTGGCAGTGGCAGTACGTCTAGCACGTCTATTAGATACAGTCACGACCCCTCGCGCCAGGGCATAGCATTGCGTGCAGTCACGCGAGAGGAAAAGAGAGATTCTATCCATTAGCTTAAGGGGTCAGTCCGGGCTCAATTGAAGGCCGACCTGCTCAGAACAATGGCACCAGTCGTTATCGTGACAGGTAAGTAGTCCTAATAGCACCCCAACTCTCAACCCCAGCCATTATTGGAGCTGCCTGTCGTTACTATCCTCTATGCCAAAAGCGGGAAATGATCATCACCATTCCTCCCGCGCACACGCATACCTTCACTCACTGAACATGCCCGCTGTTTAGGAGGCGCCTCTGGTATCGGACTCGGCATCACGCGATCGTTTGCCTCGCAAGGAGCAACAGTTTGTGTTGTGGATGTTGATCAGCAAGGCGAGGCGATCGTGCAGGCTTTATCCGCCGAGTATCGCGATGTTGGTTGCACCCTGTCATTCAAGCACGCCGACGTCTCGAATTGGGACGAGCTGGCCGGCGCCTTCGAGCAGATCTACAAAGACCACTGCCGAATCGACGTGGTAATGGCCAACGCTGGGATTTCCCGCGAAGAGAAGTTGATCTTGGATGAAGAGAGTCCGTCCAGGCCTGGGTTGCGGACGTTAATCGTCAACCTGATAGGGACAATATACAGTAAAGAAAATGAGACCTCTTCCCCCTCCCACCAACAATTCAAATTCCCCCTTCTTCTCTCACGGTTCTTCTCATCGTGAGCAGTGGGTGGCTTTTGGCTAACCTTAGTCTGATAACTAGCCGTCAAGTTGGCGATCCACTATATCAAGAAAAACGGTGCGCCAGATGCCGAGCACCCTCTGAGAGGAAGCATCATCTGCACCGCATCCAACGCCGGCCTGTATCCGTTCCCCGTGGCGCCAATTTACGCGGCGTCAAAGTCTGGGGTGATCGGGTTCGTCCGGGCAATGGCGCGCTCGCTCGAAAAGGAAGCCATTCAGATCAACGCCCTCGCTCCCGCTGTTTTGGGTACGTGCTACCTTTTAACCGCCATCCACAAAACACTCCGATACGTATAGATAGAGGACAAAAAGACATTCTGACGGAGGGTACAAATTACAGAGACGAATATTGCTCCGAGCAAGGATCTCTTCAAGGCCATGATCCTCACGCCCATGTCGACCCTCACAAGAGGAGTCCAGCAATTGCTGTCTGATCCTGCTTTATCGGGACAGATTGCTGAAATCCACGGCGACAAAGTCACACTGAGCCAGCCACCGCCGTATGTCGACGAGGACTCTGGCACCAACATCGAGACTTTCTGGACCCTGGGATATGCCTAAGGTGTATTGGAGGAGTCCCGGGACAAGGAACCCTGCCGTTGGGAATAGATGAAAAATTCTCATGAAGTACTAGTACTATGTAAGAAAGAATTCAGTACTAGTTCGATCGAATTACCTAGGTTACATGCATTTTTTCTTCATGGTCGGCCTTCTCTTCTCTCGTTTCCCTTCTCTCCTCCCACAATCAGACCTTTCTTCTGGTGAGATGCAGAAGTCGCATAGATAGTACTATGTCCTCGATACTTAAC